AGGAACAATTGTAGAATTCTTCTAAGTTGTAGGTTTTGCCTTGGGTAGAGAATTGTTTTTGTCCATGTAGAACATGTTTACAGGTAAGGCATTTTGGTTTTCTGCGTTGGTACATGCCTTTAATGTATAAAAAAAAGTGGGCATGGGGTTGGTGGGTATTTTTACTGTTTTTAGTTTGCTGGGGACTAATTTGCTTTTAATGTTGCAAGCCCTTCTGTAGACTTTGCGAGCATGCGGAATGGATGTCTTAAGGTGAGGATCCTCCATGAGAATTCTCCAATGTTTGCGCAAGATGCGTTCTATTTTACGGTGTTGTGTATGAAACTGTGTTGTGAACCGTAGAGGTCGGGGGCTGGGGTGGTTGGTGTTGGGGATATTTTTTTTTTTTTAGCTGGAGGGTTGGTTAAATAGAGGGAATATTCTTCTTGAACCAATTGTTTGGGGTAGCCTTTTTCCAGAAATTTTTGTTTGAGCAGGTTCCCCTGTATGGCGTAATCCTCCTCACGTGTACAATTGTGTTTAAGTCTGCAAAATGGATGTTTGGGCATATTTGTTATCCATTTGGGATGATGGCAGCTGCAGAAGTGTAAGAAAGAATTACTAGCTGTGTGTTTGGTATAATTTTTGTAGTAGACGGAGGCGTCTGTGTGGCAGAGTTCTAGATCCAAAATCACTAAAGTGTTAGGGTTGCACACGGATATGAAAAATAGGCCTAATGGGTTGGAGTTGCAGTGGGTAAGGAAGGTATCAAATTCATCTTGTGTGCCGTCCCAGATGATGACAATGTCATCTATGTAACAACCAAAATAAATGAGGTTTTTGGCATAGGGATTGTGATTCCAAATGAACTGATGTTCCCAAAGGTCCATGGCAAGCTTAGCGTAGCTGGGAGCAAAATTGGCTCCCATAGGAGTACCTTGTATCTAAAGGTAGTAGTTGCCATCAGAGTAATTATGGGATTAACAAAAATGTGTGGCATCGAGGATAAATTGAGCTTGTTTTTGGTTGAGAGAGGAATCTAGTGATAAAAAATGTTCCAGAATCCCACTTGGTGGGGGATGGAGGTATACAAAGATGTTACATCTAGGGAAACCCAGAACTAGTAATACTGGAGATTGTCTAGGAGAAGGATGTCATCGTGGATATAAGGGGGTAGGTTTTGAGCTAACGGTTGGAGAAACTGATCAATGTAAATGGAGAAATGGCTGGTGAAACTGTCAATGGAGGCCACTATCGGACGACCAGGTGGGTTAGTGGAATTTTTGTGTATCTTGGGGAGATGGTAGAAGTATGGCATGGAGTAGTAGTCTTTACTGAAAAAGGCAAATTCTGTTTGGTTAATGACGCCTTCTGCTAATGCAGTACGCAGAAAGGGTTAAGGCCATGTCAGCTGGTTTAACCGCTTACCTACAGCCATATAACATATATACTGCTACACGGCGGCATGGGTATGCAAAATCACGTGTATATATCTGTGATTTTGCATTTCTGGGTAGGGGTTGCGAGTGAGCCCTATCCACGCCACCATTCGCAGCCACAAATGTCAATCATCGGGTCTCGGCCCGTGATTACCGACAATCACCGACAGGGGGAGAAAGAAAATATGTTAGACACTGATGCAATAATTTCTGCACAGAACTTAGCTGGAACACATCCAAACACCACAAAAAAAAAAAAAAAAAAGACAGCTAATCTCAACAAATACTGCTCCCCCTGCTTCTGCTCTATTTCTCTCAAAATGTCTGAAATAGTTCATTTTGTTACTGTTTTTCAGTGCATTCTGGGCATTTTGTAAGGTCTTCTGCGGTTATCTTTAAAAAACGCTTCTAAACACAAACGCGCATAAACATGGTATGCAAAGGCGGCTAAACAGACGTTTTTTAACATACGTTTTCCAGCAGTCAGTTTCCATCGTTCAGAAGTGTTTTCCAAACATCCCATGTACATGGAACCTAACAAAGTAAGCAACAAAAACACAAAACAGTCATCTGTCTGCTGCACAATTTCAGCTTGGGGGAGACCTTACTGATGCAGGATGTTTTCAGATGTGCTGTCCAAGCTCTTCTACAGAAGAACAAGCAAATCTTCAACACAGTGGTCAAGCCATGGAAACATAGCAGCAGAAAAAAGGACATCAAGTCTAATGCAGGCCATAGATGGGTCGAAAATCAGCCGATTTTCGGGGCAATGATGGGCAAATCGGACCGATTTTCGGGGCAATGATGGGGGAGGAGGAGGAGGAATAGGAGGAGGAGGAATAGGAAGAATAGGAGGAATAGGAAGAATAGGAGGAATAGGAGGAGGAATAGGAGGAGGAATAGGAATTCCAGTACGGCAAAAAGTGTCCCTGCAGAGAGCTCCGCTATTTCTTTGACAGTTCCTTGACATTTATAGCGGTTGCAACATTGTATCTATTTGTTTCCAAATAAAAACATCTGTATCCTAAATGGATACAAATAGATACATTGTTGCAACCGCTATAAATGTCAAAGAACTGTTAAAGAAATAGCAGAGCTCTCTGCAGGGACACTTTTTGCCGGCTGTAGACGGGATGAAAATCGGCCAACTTTTTTTTACCATTGCTGGTAACATCGGCCGCTTGAACGACCGATTTTTCGTTTTTTAAAAAAAAAATCGGCCGTTTTTCTCCCCGTCTATGGCCTGCATAATTAGAATTTTTTAAAAAAAATATAGGCATATATAGCATTACTGTCTGTTCAAAACTGGCAGAAAATATGGCAGCTGGTGTTCTAAACTTTTTGGTCAAAATTCTAAATATCTAGTTCTAAAAAAAAAGGCAGTTTTTAATACTGCATGTGCTATCTGTACTTCTCTGTTGTATAACTACAAGACATGGGTATAGGTTACACCAAAAAATACCAGTTACCTTTAATTAAAAAAAACTCTTTACATCTTTGGATAAAAAGGCACAAAGGTATACAGAAGAAAACCACTTGAAATATTAAAAAAGGAGTTTATAATACAAATATGTTCTGTCCCATAGTACAAAAAAAAAATAATCACATAACACATCAACAGTATTAACAAGTAAAAGAACCAAGATTAAAAATAATGTTAATTAACATCCTAGGAATTAACATTAAATTATGTTGATTTTTAATTTCTAGCCTAAATTCGAGTATCAATTTCCTGCAGCAAGCATCTTTATTCCATTGTCTCTCACTAACCTGATCTTTTAAATCTGAGCAAGTCTTGACAACCAGTTCTGATGGGCAAATGATAGACACCACCACCCCACTGTATTTTGTTATTCTTTTGGTTTTGGTTTACAGTAACAGGCATTCTAAAAGTAAGACATGTAGCTGTGGTAGCCAATCAAAAGGAAAAAGTGGAGACACCGTCCCAGTAACAATAAAACAAATAACTCCAGCAGAGCATTGAAGATGGAGCAGAGCCGATTTATATAATGAATTCGATTCAGATATTGCAAAGGCAGAATAGAAAATCCAGCTTTACATTGGCAATATCTGCCATCTGCTTTGACTGTACCCCACAAAAATGCATACATTCACCGACTAGTATTCTGAAATTACAGACGACTTAAATCATGGCTATCCTTTGCATCCCATTATTGTGTCCCAAGAGTGTTTTGTTTTATGTCAGCAGGTTGGAGAGGAATGAACCATATTCTTCTTTTAAATACATACTTGTAGTCTAACCTCATAGTAAACAAGTACCTTTAATAACACAGGAGTTGTCAGAAACAGAGTGCATAATACAAGGCCATACACCGTTTAAGTAAACCAGTGTTTCTTAATTTTTTATTTATTTTTTTAAAAGTCAAGACACACGTTAGAATTGTGCACATCCCTGGGGCACCCCATTCTGAGGGTTTCTTCACACCTGTGCACCTTTTTTACGTTCCCATGTGTCACATTTTATAACCGGATGCTCTATGAAACAGGCAAAAGTTGCCAGCATGATTGTTAAAATCAGTACCATGCATTTTAGCAGGAGCAAACACATGCACATTTGCCAGATGCATGGGGGGGGGGGGGGGGCATTAGGAATTAACAAAAAGGCAATGCATTTTTGTGGAGTTACAGGAAAATGCATGATTTTGCATGTATTACCGCACTGCAACTGGTGTGAACCTGCTAGCATAAATCTCCCTCCTAGCACAAATTCTGTTCCTCCTCCCTCGGCAAGTACAAAACTTCTCATCCCAAGCATAATTGTTACTCTTCCCCTATAGTGTCCCCATGTATAATGTATCCCGCCCACAAAACATACAGGTGGAAACTGGCTCTACATGAGTGGCGACAGCAGCAGAAAGGAGAGCAGAAAGAAGGTGTGGGCTGTGCTCTCCTCTAATGCCCCCCCCCCCCCCCCCCTCACCCTTCTGTCTGTATACAGAAGATGAGACATGGGTACTGTGCAGGGTTTGATTACTGTCCCCTACCCACAATTTTTGCTACCAAGACAGGAGCACTCTGAAGAGGAGATAGGGGGCGGTAATCAAACTATGTAAGTCCGATCCGACATTGATCCTGTGACGCCTGTGTACAGACAGGAGGGAGAGAGTACAGCCTGCATACAGGTCCTCCAAGATCTCTACTGCTGTCAATACTCCTGTCCGCAAATAAAAAAGCTGTGTGAGTGCCCAACGTGCCCTTGGCAACCAATGATGTCATGGGTTGGTAGACCATGTTTCACCCAACTAGAGCTTAAGTCTAGGAGATAAAGCTGAAGCCAGTTTGCAAATGCCTACTACCATGGTTTACATCAACCATGTGTGGCCTCACTTTTCTACACTTGGAGCTAGAAAATCGACTCAGACAAGCTCTTATGGCAGACCTGTGCCTGGTAGCTTTTATTGGAGCCGGCTAGAGAAACATACAGAGGTATCTGAGTGGTGCTTTTGCTTGTTTATCTTGACAGGTATTATCAGAGTTTGCATGAAACAAGATCTTATTTGAAACGAAAGTCTATGCCTGCAATCGTCCAAAATCATTGTACAGTCTTTGCCTGAAAACACATCACCGCCGTCTGAAGGCACGGGAAATTCTCCAGGCATTGGGCTCCTCATAGCGGTTGTAAAGGGGCTCCAGCCGCTGTTGTTTCTTCTGTTTGCTGAGCTTAGTTGGGTCAGAGACTTTGAAGAAAGCTGGAGCGAACTCCACTAGCCAACGGGGATCAATAGTAGTCACTTCCCGCATGTATTCCTTGGTGGTTAAGACAAGCTCATGGTATACAACCCTAAGAAAAAGAACAATCAATGAATCAAGAGCTTTTATTTCTCTGTCTAAGGTATAAAATCTTTGTAGATATGGTTATCCATTAAATGACTACCCTGATATAACCTTTGGTTCACTCCATTTAGAAAAAAAATGTATATGTTATACCAAAGAGGTTCCTGATCCCCCTTGCTTTTGAACTGCTTGGTGGCTTATTACTCTAAGACCACCTAGCACTGAAGTTTATGTCCCTGGTAACATTTTTGACAGAAATGATTAGCTGTGCTATACCATAGTTGTTCTTGTGACACATCCAGTTTTGAGTGTCTGTACAGAGGATTATACCAAATCCTGTAGCAATACTTTTGATTTTATGGCTGACATGTCACAAGGTTGTTTTTGAGGTAGCAAACAGTCTATTTCCCCTCAGGAAGAATTTTGAAATGCGTTCGGAGTGTCCCTCATCCACATCTACTTGATAAGAAGTTCACCAGCATACTATGTTGTAGAATTGGTGGGACAATATAGACATGTTATAGCCAGACGTGTATGAGTATATTGTAAGCCAATAAATCATTTTATAAACAATGTTAAGTCTGTTGCATAAAACACATATCTTATTATTGTGTACACTAATGGTAACCTTCAGTGCAGCAGAAATGTTTTGTAGCCTTCCCCAGATCTGTGTCCTCCTCTGAAGGACATCAAGCACCAATGAAGGCCTTGAATGTCAAGTGAAACAATTAATTGCTCTGGGAGAGAGAGGATAGTGACCAGGAAGGGAACACAGCTCCTGAGGCCAAGCTGACACGATACAGAAGAATCTCTATGTTCAAGACAGCCTATGATGTAGGTCTGTGATTCTGTTCCGCAGTACAGTGAATTATCGAGTGAGCAGATGGAGAGCACTAGAGACAAGTGGTTAGTCTGTATAGCTGAAGGGAAACAATTTGCACCCGATCACCTAAATGGCAAACTACCCAAGAGCTCACAAGGATTAACACTTCAGTATGAAGGTGCATCCCCACTTTTCTAAGGAGTTCCCAGGTTTCTTGCTTCCAACTTTGCAGATGGCCATAGAAATAAGGCTTAAAGGGCCTAGTCATACCCACTCCAGAGGTTTGTGAAGGAGAGGGATGGGAATTTCCTTAGATTTCTTGTGCTGAGGTAGGTAAGTGCTCTAGCCTCCAGTGTTATCTTTGAAAAAAAAGACATGATTTGGACCTACCCATGACATTATCATCAAAGACCAAGCAAGTAAGGCTCTCCTTGGATATAGCCTGCCTCTGAGCACCTTAATCAGAGTGCTCTTTATATTTGTACGACCAACAAATTCACAGAAGGCACACGCCTAGATGCTTTTATCTGTCCAACACAGCTGAATCATACAGCCCCAGAAATCTGATCCAAACACTCTATCAGGAATGGGTCCACTGCTGCAGGTGGAGAGACTTCCTTTGAAGGATGTAGAGTCCATTTTGCCACAGGATGACCTTTTGTAGCTGTGACCTTAATCTGTGAAAGGGCAGGGCCCACCACAGAGAATGGGGAATTAAAGTGGGATTCTAGCTAATGGTCAGTAGAATCTTTGAAGATAACAATGCCCTCTATTGGCCTAGTGCTATCCCTGTTAAGGTGGGTCACTGACAGATCCACAGTGGGTATAGACTACTGTTTTACAAATTGCTTTCCAAACGGAAACATATCCAGCAAGCACTCAGGGGGGAGCCAGGACCCCTTGGGGTTCTTCCAAACTTCATAAGAGGAATAACTTTGAGGAGCAGGTGTAATTGGAAGGTCTTTGCAGTTGTAGGACCACTGACCCAAGACCGAAAAAGCAAGCTGACCCTCCAGATGCAGTGAAGTACATACGGTCTCAACAGGGGCAAAAACATTCTCCTATAAATCTGTGGTAATGGCAGAGGACTGATTCCTCAAAAATCATCTGAACAGACTGAGGGGACCCTGGAGCCGCGATAGTAGCTATGAATATAGGACCAGCATCTAAGGTCATGGGGAAATCAGAAATAGACTCAGCAGGAGAAGGTGTAGGAGTGTGCTTAAAGTGTTACTAACCAACAACAGTAAAATCAGTCTGTATATGCAGTAAAGCATGCTTGTTATACTCACTGTGGAACATAAGGGGTTAATCCTCTGCATTGTGTAAAAAGACTGTTTGATCCCTTCTTCTCTGTTCCTCTCCTTTTTAAAGTGACCACCACTTATCTTCTGATAAGACAAACTGAACCATAGGCATTTTGAACATGCTCAGTTTGGTGTGTATTGCTAGAGGTTTTTTTTTTTTTTTTTTTTTTCTTGGGAGAGGGCATGTGATCAGCACAGGGCCAATCACCACTAGTCAGACTGAGGTCAGGGGTTTTGCATCCTCCTAAAGCAGAAAAAAACTCCTCCTACAAGCTTTAGCTAGTGCTTGGCTGAACACTGATAGAATCCACAAGACTGCTCTAACTGCTTATGAGAAAAGGTATTTAGCAGTTTATATTTACTAACATAATTGCATTTCCATGTTCTGTGTATTGTGAGAGATCAGATAAAGTGGATGCAGGGTCCTGGGTTTAGTAACACTTTAACAACTCTGTGGTAAGCACCAGCACAAACCTACGTGAAACTGGCCACAAAGTCATGAAAGACTCCAAGAGAGACCCCTGACAATAAGACAGGAGACTTGGTCACATCTGGCGAAGCTATGGTGGATGCCGATATGGTAAACCCTCCAACTATATGGAAACAAGATTCCAGATATCAGTGCCTTCAGAGAGCACAGGGCAAATGTCAGAACCGTTAGGAAAGTGTAAGCTGGGTCATGTTTCTGAGACCATTGGTGGACCATTGGTGTGAGCTGGGGCCCCCCATTAGAACAAGAGACTGTCCTTTCTTTGTCTAGATATAGAAATGTGGTTACTGTGCGTCAGTGATGCAATCAAACTCAGGGAACGATGCAAGGGTTTAAGTACTCACCAAACTCAGAAAGTTGGTAGCTGGTGATGGTTGGAAGGACAGAGATTACCAATGTTATTGTAGATGGACAGTAGGAATTGACCAGAGATTGAGAGTTCCGTGTAGCTCTTTGCAAAGTGGAAGAAGCAGTAGGGCAATGCTTCCACAAAGCTAATGGGTGTAAAAGAGAACACGGAGCATGGATTATCCACCCAGTGGACGATGCCAGTGCTCAGTCTTGGTGCATTGACTCTACGGTAAAACCACCAGAATGCAGGAAATTCAAAAGGTACCCAAAGGTGCAAATAATGACGTTGCTTCCAGTTCTCAGGCTGATTGGATGGATGTGACAGAGAAGGGGTTAATGAACTAGGGCAAGGTAAGTACCTAATGTGCAACCCAGCACCTAAAGGCCACTTTCAGGCTAGCCCCACAAAGCCCAATCTAGTAAGGTCTAGGGACAGCGATCCAAAGCTAGGCTAAGTAAAGGCCAGACTGGATAGCTTTGAAGAATCTTGATTGACTAACAAAGCAGCACAAAAGCTAGCTAAAATTGTTTGTGTTTTCCCAGCAGAGGTGAAAAATAGATGTTCATCTTCCTAGAACATGAAGGCATAATGTTAATAGGAGCAGGTATCCTGGGCTAGCATACAGATTTTTTTTTGTTTGCCATTGTCCAATCCTCCTCTAGGCAGCTCAAATAAGAACACAGTTTAACATTTTCTTGGGTTTCCATTTACAGTATGCGCTATACTTTTGTGGTTTAGGGGACTTTACATTCTCAATACTTTCAATTAGCCTTTTGTGATTTAAATCAATGTTTGTCAGTCTTCAACCAAACATCACAAAGGATTTCCCAGCAACACCTACCAGCCAGCCTGCAAAACAACCAATGTGGCCCTGTCTAACAGTTTGTGTTAAAAACAGAGGGTTTTGTTTGCACACTTTTGCAAATACATGTGTAAGCCCCAGTCTTGCGTCAAGGGTCCTATGTATACCATGGACCCAACTCTAAAATTTCAAGAGCCTCCATAGTAAGAGCACATATATCAATGGATAGGTTAAGGGCAGGTGTGCCTTGAGGAGACCATCCCTCCTTAAAGGTACAGGGATGCAAGTGACGCCCAGCTATAGTAAAATAACAGCAAAGGCATGCAGTGCGCCCCTGCATCCAAAGAAACTGCCCTGAATTGGCAAGGTGACGGGGTCTCTTTATGATCAGATAACTCCAAAACATGGAGGGCGATTATGCTTGGCAAATTACTGTTTGCTAGAAAGAGCTTAATTTTTGGACTAAATGAACTTCTGATGAGGGTGGCATAGATTTATTACTAATGGTTTACGATTTACAATGAAATTCTCAAAGTTACGCCTTAACATCTATTGGTTAAGAAAACTGTACTGATGAAATTACCAAATAAACCAAAACTAAAAATCTATGTATCTTTCTTACCACTCTGGTTGTCGGTTGAATAGAGCACTGGATGGGTGGATATAGACCACTTGCTGGTCTATGAGAGTCCTATAGCCTTCCTGAGGATCCTTCTTGGCTGCATTTCGGAAGAAACCACTGCATATAGCTTTCTGCACTCTTACTGTTGCTTTACCACAGGACACAACCAGTTTATGTCTGTAAAATTATATTATTAACACAAAATCAATGCAAATATAGCCACAGCTGAATTCTATAGCGACATTTCACCAGATGATGAAAGTTTAGATTACACTATGCATTATGGATAAGAGCAACAATATTTCAAGGATCAGAATATTATTATGTTCTAACTTAGACAGAATATCCTGAAATAAGAAACTTGTATAAAAAGAGACAGCAGCTAACCAAAGTATTGAAAAACACATATACACACACACAATTAAAATGTATAATCCAAGCAAAGTGTACAATTACAGAAAACCTGTACTAAGAAATATATGTGGGTGTCATTGTTGACCTTATGCTTTATATGATCACTGAAAGGCTGTTATATGACCAGCTAGCCTCAATATTTACTGAGTCACTGAAATGGAATAAGAATGCAGATTGTCAAAGTCAGAACCCACAGTCTACAGTTTTGCACAACTGGAGTTCAATTAATGAAATTAGTTTGGTGGTGTGGTTTTAGAGTTACTTTGATTGATAGACGACACTCAAATATTTTAGGATTACTGTTCATAAGAAACATCAGCTGATGTGAACCATGCCTCACAAAAAGGAGCTCTGCCTAAGGCTGAAAAGGGATACAAAGCAATCTCAAAGTATTTAGGTATCCATCGATCAACAGGTTAGACAAATTTTCTGTAAATCGGAGACAGTTTTGTACTGTGGTTACTCTTCCTAGAAGTAGGCACTCAGCCAAGATGACTCCCAAGGCAGGCAGCAAAAATCCTCAATGAGGTGAAGAACCCACGAGTGTAAACAAACCTTAAGGGTGCCATTGCCAAATACAACTAAGGACTCATTCACAAGTGCAGCAGGCAATGCTGCTCCTCTGAAAAGCAATCAGAGTGTGTTTGACAGGTGTTAAGTGATATGTTGCCTCCTCACCACCTGATTTAAACCCATGATTGCCATGCAATGCACGCAATTGTGATGCAGTAGTACAGCAGAGGTTTAAATCAGGTCAGGTGTGAGGAGGCGACTCTGCCTAGTGATCTTTGAGTTCTCCCATGTTGTTCAAGTAGATCTCCATCACTGGCTTCAGAAAACAAAGTACGCCTTTTGTAGTAGTCCAGTCAGAGCCCAGACCTTAACCCCATAGAGATGCTGTAGAATGACCTTAAGAGAGTCGTTCATACCAGACATCCTACAAATGTGTCAGAGCTGAAGCAGCTTTGTAAAGAGGAATGGTTGAAAATTCCTTCTGAGGGTTGTGCAGGTCCAGAGCTATTGAAAGTGCTTGCTTGAAGTCATTGCTCTGAAAGGAGGTTCAGCCAGCTATCAACTCCATGGGTTGACTTGTGCTTTTGTCTCCAACACGCTAAATGTTTCATGGGTGTGTTTAATGAAGACACACAAAATTAGAATAGTGTTTATCTATTGCTGTGACTTATATGAGGATCAGATCACATTTTATGGCAGAAAACCAGTTAATTCCAAAGGATTTACATACTTTTTTCTTGCCATTGTTGTAAGACTAACAATTTCAGAATAAAAGTGGCTTCCTCACCCAGAAAATCTTTTACAATCAATACAAAAGGCAATGACAGGAGTTAGAAGATGTACAAAAACCATTATGTGACACAAATGTCATAAAAAATTATGTTATGATGTATAATGTTATCATGTACAATTCCTACACTTGGTTATTTTGGATCACACTTTGCACTTTTTAATTGTATCTACTTAATTGAAAAAATTGGTGTAACACATTCAGGTTTGCTTTCAGCCAACATACCTGTCCATTATGCCCAACATTTGTTTACGAATATCTTGAGCACGCCTCAATGAACGAGCTTGAATAAAGTTTTCGTAGCACCAGGGGTTGGAAAACTTGTTGTTCTTCCAAGAGTTGTAAACAGCCAGCAATGTCAGGTGGTCTCCTTCTGTCTGGTGAAACTTAGCCTTCTTCTGGTCTGCAAGTGCTTGCTTGTCCTGCAGGTTAATTGCAAACCATGAATCTGTCCTTCAATTCTTGTAAATGTTACACATTGTAGCCTCTTTACACAAAGCATCAATTCTGCCAGCACATCTTGCTAGTAAAATCTTTTAAAATAGCATTGATATGCTTCAATTGAATTGTGGAGCTATATGTGGATATTAATTCTGACATATTTCCATTTGCCAAGCAACTGTAATCATTAGTGAGATTACTGTATGAGGAAACGGCTAAGACGACAGCTGAGTACCCCTTTAAACTTTGAATTTGTAGACAAAAGACATTTAAAATGTATCTAAACCCAACTTTTAATATATATCTGCTTAACTGCCCTTAGATGTGGCTGCAATAATTTTCTTTGTTCTCTTTATTTTTAGCTGGTGATCTTGTGAATAACACTTCCTGGTTGGCTGCACTATCTTCATCACTGTGTCCATCACTCAACACACTCTACAGAGAACCATTATTATCACCTAGGTTGCTCTCTTGATTTGGACTACAGTCTTCTTCTATTCATCTTCATAATATGGGGGAGAAGAACAGCTTACAGAAGACGAATTGCAAGACAGGCAAGATTAATTGTGTTTTCAGTTCAGCTCGCAAAAAGTGATAAGGACATTTCTGGAAAGATCAACTGCTGTTTTCTGTGCTTTCTAAAAAAAAAATGTCCTTAGCTCAAAAAAAGACAAATTTCAGCAACCACATCTAAGAACTGGTAAGTTTCAATATACTACATTTATGTTCCTGGTTTATATACCCTTTTAATTAATTTTAGCAAACACAAAGCAGGCTTTAAAACATGCCCTTATTGACCCTTGAAGCAATCAATCTTCAATATCCAGCAGCACAAAAGTCCATCAAGGCAAATATTTCTGATCTCTCGCATTTGTGTTTACATTAGAGATAAGAAGGTACTGAGCCCCTGCTGGGAGGGTGAGCAGTGAGCTCAGCTGCTGACTCTAGTGCTTCTGCTGTAAATTTTGAGGATCAATTACTCCATGATGCCTGCAGCGACAGGGGTCAGTGCAGGCTTGTTTTGAAGCATATCTAATTCTTTTTAAGAATAATACTCTCCACAGTTTGGCCACTGTGAGCTTGACAATATACTATCATTTTGAAGGCCTTTGTTTCTGTTTTCATCATCTCAATAGTGCTAGGTGCATAATTAACACTAGGGTGCGCTTTGTACCTTAGGTCTGTAGAACACATTCTGAACAGAGAGCATAGATACAATGGTCAACATCTCCTCACTGCAGCCAAGATGTACAGACATGATGAGCATTTTACATAGCATGGGCTCCAGGGGAAACTCTGCCATCTGAAAAGGACAAAAATGAAACAATTAAAACAGAAAACGAACCAGTTTTTGAGATTTTGGCTGGCAGCTAGCAAATAAATGAATGAATGAATGAATGAATGTGAATTTTCTTTTTGCGTCAAACAGCACAGTTAAATGCTCTAGAACAGAATTACTACTTACATACAGTTGAAAGGAAAGGTTTGCAAACTTTAGGATGTGTGACTAAAACCTATCTACAGCCATTTTTTTTTACTTTAGGACAGAAAGAATTTCCTTCACTTTCTGTCCCTGTGACTAAAAAAATGGGTGTTTTGGCACAGGCCACAATAAAAATCCCGACAGAAGCCCTAACCAAAAAAATTTACTATTACATTTTATCTTTGTCCTCATTCTCATCAGAGATATTTTTTTTTTTCATCACATCCTGTCCTGAGAAGACGTGAGGGTAAATCTCCCAATAGGACAGAACAATAAAACTGATAGAAGCTGAACCCTCCACAGTCCAGTCAAAATGTATTTTGTTTTGAATAGAGTTGGGCTTTTAAAGCAGATCTAGATCTTTGGGAACCCCAAGGCGATAAAAATGGGGCTCAACTGCTAATTTTTACCTCTCTTTTTGCCATGAAAACTACTTGCTAGCAAATTTTCTTAAACAAAACCTCTTTAAAAAATGCTCTTAAAATAAATAAATCAGGAGATATATTAATATTTTACCAACAATTGAAAAAAAAAACACAATGTATAACTCCCCTCATATACTAAAGCATTGCAAGTCAAAATTGCAAAACTAGTTTCAAACATTAAGATTTGTTTTTCCTTCCTCCTTAAGGGCTTAAACAATCAGTGTAATTAATGGATAAAGTATGTGATGCCTTCCCCCTGCTATCTTGGTGGTATTACCAATTAATAGCTTTCTGTAGCTGCCATTTGGATGCGTGCAGCTATTTGTAAGTATTGTGGCTTACTGATATATTATACACATTCATAAAATTTTTTTTATATGTCTGAAGAACATCCTAATTCAAGCCAATCAGTCGAAAGACTAATTGCCAGGAAACAAAGTGTACAAATTAGCACCAAAAATACTTACTCTTCTCCCTAGACGTGTAAGTAGGCCTTCATCATCTAGTGCTCCAAGTGTATATAACTGTTCCATAGCTGTGATGAGAGTTTCCATAGGTGGAGCATCCATGAAGTCGAAAGATAACAAATCATTGATCCCCATAGCCTTAAAAAAAAAAACACATTTATTTTTATTTATTACAGGTATTTATATACCACTGTCAATTTATGCAAATCAGTCCCTAACCCTCAAGGGGTGTACAATCCAAGTTCCCTAACTCACATTCATACATACACATACTAGGGACAATTAGGACAGGAGCCAATTAACCTACCAGCATGTCTTTGGAGTGTGGGAGGAAATCAGAGTACCCAGAGGAAACCCACGCAAGCACAGGGAAAACATGCAAACTCCAGGCAGGTGGTGCCGTGGTTGGGATTCGAACCAATGACCCTAGTACTGCCAGGCATTTAGCCACTGTGCTGCCCAATACATGCTATTATTAACTTATTCTTGCAAAAATAAAATAAACATATAGACCAGCGCAATCACAGAGTGATTTCTCTGTAAGGGAGAAGAGGTCCATCACTTCAGGACACTAGCAAAAACTGACATCACATGAAGTGGGGCACAGTCATAGGGAGGTGCCCAGGAGGTGTGTCCTCTAAAGCTTTGCCAGTGTCCAGTCACCTGAAGGTGCAAGACTTTAACTCGGGGGCTATGAATATTCAATCTCTGTCCTGTACTGTATGATTGGGATGTCCTACTTAGTTTTTGTTTAAAAGGGGGCTGGGGATCTGTATTTCCATAATTAATCCTGTCTGTACTGTGTTGGAAGATCTCATTGTCAGTTGCGAACTAGATTTGAAAAACAATCTGTCATATCAAAAGGGTCAAAGATTCAGAAGCTGCCCTCCTGAATTGTTAATGGGAAAAAACTCAGGTTGTTTTTAGGACAGGTTCACTCAGCAAACGAATATAAATACAGGGGTATGACAGTAAATCATAAAAAACACCTGTATTTACAGTACCCAGGAGCCCCAGCTGAGGAGTATTTCTGTCCATTACTATATTTACATCTCTATAAAAAAATAACCTAAAAAAGTTTTTGGGGGTTTTTTAGGTATGCTGTGTGCAAAAAACATAGTGGGGTTTTCTCAAATTTAAACGCAGAAGTGGACTTTTGCACTTTAAAGGCCAAGTTTGCCTTTTGCAAAAAAAAAAAAATAAAAATATGCACATCTTTTTGCAGGTAAATGTGCATTTTTTTCACATTGCACGCACAATCAGCAGATCACGGGTGCAATGCTAGGATCCTGCAGCCTCTCAGTAAGAGGTCTGCCCAAACATCCCATACTGGCAGACAATTACTGAATGGCAGGGAAAAAAAATTACAGGAAGAATCGATTAACTACAAGAGCGGCCTTTAAGTTCACTGAGAACTACAAGCTATCAGCCGCAATTACTTGTAGTACTTGTAAGTCTGTTAATTCACAGAAAACTGTGAATGAATTACATGGTTGTGTTGGCGGGGCTGTACGGTTTTACAACTATGACAGCAGGTTCGGGGAGAAGATCCCCCAACCACTGTAACAGAGAGAGGAGCACTGACGGTAGGAGGTGGGTGCATAGGAACAGGTTACTTGGTACATTCTAAATATGGGTATAAAATGTAACATGCTCCTAAAGGTGAACTTAACCTTTAAAGGACCTTAAGAGTTCACATCAGAACTGCTTCTCTTTAAAAACAAGTCAAGGGAAGCACAAAAGAAGCTTGAAGCAAGTTGATAAAGCTTAGAAGGAAGTCAAAAGATCAGAATACATCATCTGCAGGTCAAATGCATATGCCAATGAACTATATTTCTTTTAGAATAATAGTGTGTGACTTCTGTGACACCAGAGTGCAAGCTCCCCTGCTCCAGAGCCCGATATGTGAACAACCCCAGCCCTACACAAAACCACAGAATACACCAGAGCTACATAAATGCATAATAGTGTGTGACTGTGATGGGGACACCAGAGTACAAGTCCTTGTGGTGTACAGACTGATACTAGTAACCCAGCACCCTTTACATAGAGCTGTAGCACATGCCAAAGCCACAAAATATATTTATACCTTGTAATTTGTCAATTATCTTGGATATGAGAAGCATCCTAAAACCAATCAAGCATACATTAACTGTACCTGAAAGAACACTTATTTGCCTGTTGATGCAAGCCCTAAAATATTTCACTATTTGGACTTACGGGCCTATTATAAATGGATTTCACACCACTTTCATCTGGATTCACACATTTTTCCAACTGAACCCAATTAGCAAAATGTGTGAATCTTTGTGGATGAAAATTTCTTATTGGATTTTCACAAATGTTATTCAGAAGCAGAGTAATATAGGTCATAGGCACACACAGGTCATGTGACCAGGTTCTCCTCCTATCACTCAGCATTTCCTGTTGCATAATATGGAGAACACTGAAGTACACCACAGTCTCCATAGCACCTCTGCAATTTATGATAGATACCTAAAAGGATGGCATAATGTGGAGTTTGTACTGCAATGTCTTCTGGATAGTGGTTTCTACTCTTAATTATAAATGGACCCCGAAGTGGACATGTGGTAATACTTAGGTCTGAATACTACATAAGCATTCTCACCTAGAATTACACATAAACCGATTACAAATTCTTACCTTAAGTGATAACACAGTGCTAGCCAAATTTGTTCTCTGGATCTCAGGTACATTGGTAGTAAGCATCTCATCACGATAGGCCCGCTCAGTGTAAAGTCTGTAGCACTTCCCAGGGCCTGTTCTTCCTGCCCTTCCCGCACGTTGTTGGCTTGTGCCTGTAAAAAAAATAGGTGGCCTTTAAACAATCCAATTTCTGATCAGCTTTCAAAAACACCTTATATACTTATTCTGTACTCAAATCATCAAAGAACTATACTTCACATAATTATAAAATTACATACATGCATGTGTTGCAGAAATGTCTGAATAAAATATATTCTATTGATACATACTTGCAAAAATAGGATTTTTGCACTTACCGAAAATTTCTATTCTTGTAGTCCAGTCAGGAACACAGAAATCTTACCCTTCATCTTAAAGTGGTTTTAAAGACTCAAGGTTTTTTTACCTTTATGCAAAACCTTCTGTATGCAGCAGCCCCCCAATACTTACCTGTGCCCCCTCTTGATCCAGCAATGTGCACGAGAGTGGCTTCCCTGGGACTCTCCCTCTTCATTAGAGCCATTGGCTCCCGCTGCTTTCAATCACAGCCAGTGAGCCAATGAGGAGAGAACAAGAGTGGGGCCGAGCAGAGCTTGCTTGGGTCCAGGCAGGAGGGAGGGGCCAGGTGTACCAGTGGGGGACCCGACAAGGAGGAGAATCATGGCTGCTCTGTGCAATACCACTGCTCAGGGCAGGTAAGTATAACATGTATCTTGAGAGCTGCTATTTCTTCCCGGCGGTGGAGGACACCACTGCTTTGCCTGCCAACTACACAGAAGCAGCTGCCTGAGCTGCACAGTTACAGTTGTGACCAAAAATTATTCAACCCCCACTGAAATTGAGTGTTTTGGCCAGTTTGACATTGCTTTTGATCATTCAGTCATCTTGCTTACATTTACATTAAAGAGGCACTTGTAGGTCAGACAAATATAACATAACAGTTATAATGAAATAACCACAAAATGTCTTTTCTGTGCTCACAGCATTATCAGTTTTATTCAACCCCCAAGTGACATTCAATCTTAGTACTTAGTACAGCATCCTTTTACAGTTATAACAGCTTTTAAACGTGAAGCATAGCTTGACACAAGTGTCTTGCAGCGATCTACGGGTATCTTCGCCCATTCTTCATGGGCAAAGGCCTCCAGTTCAGTCACATTCTTAGGCTTGCGCACTGCAACTGCTTTCTTTAAGTCCCACCAGAGGTTCTCAATCGGATTTAAGTCTGGTGACTGCGATGGCCACTCCAAAATGTTCCAGCCTTTCCTCTGCAACCATGCTCTAGTGGACTTGGAGGTATGCTTGGGATCATTGTCCTGTTGAAAGGTCCAACGTCTCCCAAGCCTCAGGTGTGTGACGGACTGCATCACGTTTCCATCCAATATCTCCTGGTACTGAAGAGAATTCATGGTACCTTGCACACGCTGAAGCTTCCCTGTACCTGCAGAAGCAAAACAGCCCCAAAGCATGATTGACCCTCCACCATGCTTCACAGTAGGCAAGGTGTTCTTTTCATCATAGGCCTTGTTCTTCCTCCTCCAAACATAGCGTTGATCCATGGGCCCAAACAGTTCTAATTTTGTTTCATCAGTCCACAGAACACTATCCCACAACTTTTGTGGTTTGTCCACATGGCTTTTGGCATACTGCAGTCGACTCTTCTTATTCTTTGGAGACAGCAAGGGGGTACGCCTGGGAGTTCTGGCACGGAGGCCTTCATTACGCAGTGTGCGTCTTATTGTCTGGGCTGAAACTTCTGTACCCACATCTGACAAATCTTTTCTCAGTTCCTCAGCAGTCACACGGGGACTTCTCTCCACTCTACGCTTCAGGTAGCGCACAGCAGTCGAAGTCAGCATCTTCTTTCTGCCACGACCAGGTAGCGTTTCAACAGTGCCCTTTGCCTTGAATTTGCGAATGATGCTTCCTAAGGTGTCTCTTGGTATGTTTAACATCTTTGCAATCTTCTTATAGCCATTGCCCTTCCTGTGAAGAGAAATCACCTCTTCTCTTGTCTTCCTGGACCATTCTCTTGCCTTCACCATGTTTGTAACCACACCAGTAAATGTCTAGAAGGAGCTGAGTATCACAGTCATTTTAAAGCTGCCTAATTGGTGCTTATTATGCTTGATTGCTGCTCGGTGACATCCACAGGTGTTTTCAATACCTGATGGAAAGCACCTGTATGAACCTCTGTTCTTCAGAGTGGTAGTCTTTAAGGGGTTGAATAATTGTGGCAATGAAGAAACCACATAAGAACCATTTACTACTGTATTACATAAACAATTGATGTCATTTTTAGTTGCATTTGGGTAGTTACAACGTCCTTGTAGGATTTGATTCTGAATACAATTCCAAATGTACACTATAGTCCCTAAACCCCTTTACAGCATTGGGGGTTGAATAATTTTGGTCACAACTGTACATCCCTTTATATCAATCCATCCACATCCATTCATTTTCTAGTTCACATACAGGCACTCAGGAGTTCTGTGAGGGGTGGATTACAGGGAAAGCAGAGCACCAAAACAGGCAAGTAAGCTAAGGGCCACTTGTTAGGGAAGGGCAAAAATGACAGTTAACCCCTTACCCTCCAGAGGAATACCTCCCCCCCCCCCCCCATTCCTGACCAGGCCATTTTTTGTGATACAGAGCTTCGTTACTTTGACAATTGCGCGGTCATGCAACGCTGCACCCAAAATGAAATTTACGCCCTTTTCCCCCCCACAAATAATGCTTTCTTTCTGTGGTATTTGATCACCTGTGCGTTTATTTTTTGCACTATAAACAAAACAAAAAAAACTATATTTTTGACTTTTTGCTTAAACATGTCCAGTAAAAAATAAAAATAAAAAAAAATCTAATTTTGTCATAAATTTCGGCCAAAATGTATTTGCTATAATAAAAAATCCCAATACGTGTACATTAACAGGTTTACGTGAAAGTTATAGCGTTTACAAATGGCAGTATAGATACTGGAATTTTTTTTTTACTAGTAATGGTGGCGATCAGTGACTTATAGCGGGACTGCGGCGGGCATTCTAACACTGGGGGGGGGACTGACTTGGTGTCACTGACATCCCCAGTGACACCAATACAGCGATAAGTGCTAATAAAAAGCACTGACGCTGTACTAATGGCACTGGGCAGGAAAGGGTTAACATGTGGGGCTATAAAAGGGTTATCTGTGTACAGTTTTACAAATAATATAAAAAAAAATAGAATAAAAATGTGAAAAAAAATTAAAAATTATAATTTTTGGTTATAAACTAATTTGGGTTATTTTTTTTTTACTAAAAAGATAACTGAATACATTTTGGCCAAGATTTATGATGAAAAATTATTTATTTGCAAAATTTTATAAGAAACTTTTTTTCAAAATTTTTGGACTTTTTCATTTATATAACAAAAAATAAAAATACCACCACAATAAAGCTTTATCTGTCTAAAAAAAAAAATGCTAAAAAAATTCATATGGGTACGGTGTCGCATGACTGCGCAATTGTCATTCAAAGTGTGATAGCGCTGAAAGCTGAAAACTGGCCTAGACAGGAAATGAGTAAAAGTGTCCGGACTTGAAGTGGATTTAGAAAATTTCAACAAAAATGCAGTATTATTAAAAAAAACGTTGATAATGGGACAATGTGTATTAAAAAGAGAAGTCTGGAAAAAAAAAAATTATGCTCACCTAGATGGGTGCAACATTGATATATGAGAACTGAGCAAGCAAAGACCACTGATGGCTCAGTTCTCAGTCTTCAGTGAGCAGAGAGCCAGTGACAGTCAGTCACCAGCTCTCTGCACTGCCCCTCCAATGCTCACTGGACTACTGGGCTGTGGAGGAAGTTGGAGAGACTGGCTCAGGCTTTCAGTGGCTGGATGAGAGGATGAGCCAGCTGCCAGTCCAGGCTTCTGGGTGGATCCCGACTTTAAAGTCAGGATCTTTTTCCTGAGCCTGGACCAGCTGATGGTGTACTTTAGCTAGCTGACAGCGGAAAATGGGTCACAGGAGTGCAGAATGAAATGCACTCCTGTGATCCATACAAGTAGGGCCAAACATCTTTGGCCATATTTCTCCTTTAACTCCCAAATAAAATGACTGCTAGCTATTGTACAAACTAACCTACAGTATATTACAAACATTCCTTCTGGTTAACTTACCTGTGAGATGGGTGTAACAACAAGCTGATCAATGCCAGTTTTAGAGTTGTAAACTTTCTGCTTTACAAAGCCAGGGTCCACCACATAGTAGATTCCATCAATGGTTAGTGATGTCTCAGCAATATTGGTTGCAATGACAACCTACAAGAGAAAAAAAAAAAAAAGATAAAAATAATGTTCTATAGCATTCAGTGTACCTATCTATCAATGTGTTCACCAAGGAAAATACTTCTGCCATGCTGAAGATAATAATTTCTTGCACTTCTAAAATATATGAAGAAATGAGCCAGATAAACGTGGAACCTGCTTGGAAACTTGATAAAGCAACTAAATCGTGATCTCTCCACCATTGAAACTCAGTGGGTTGAGAAAAAGCAGTTCTAAATCTAAGGTCTCCTAAACAGGCAGTCCAAGGGGAGATTTTCTCAGGGATAGTCTATTTTTATAAGAAAATTATATTTTTTAAAGGAAGGATCCACCCAAACACCCGCACTGGATTCTTCTGGTTTGGGTGGAGTGTGACAGAAGTTTGACATCCCACCAAGTTTGTACAGCTATCCGTACAAAAAAAAAAAACTGACTGCATGAGTAACAGGCATTCCTTGGCTTTTTAATTTATCTTCCAAAGCTCAAGTGAATTTCCCTTGATTGAGTCTACTGGAAGGTACGCAATACGAATTCTCTGTATCCACAGTCCTACAGTGGATTATCAAAGCTAAGCTCAGTCTGCTACAGCTAAACATGTGACAGGGAGAGGATCCTCAGCTCTGGTACCTAAGGGCTGTAAAGACCAACAGTTTGGCTGAACCCTGACTCACTCCACCCCAGAAATAAAACTCCCATTTTGGATGGGTTAAACATGCCAAAATGCACTAGCAAAAAAAGGTTTTGCAAGAGGTCAGGAAAAGAGGGCAAGTGGCAGTTCAGTTTGAACTTAGGCAATTAGAAAAAAAGAACACCCTCATTTTAAGAGATGTGGAGCAGCAGGCACGGTTTTTAAATCTAAATCCATTAATATTCTACAAATCCTGCTTTCGAAAAAAGATGAATATACAATGTACCTTTCTGCTTCCTGGGGGTGCTGGATCAAAGATTCTTGTCTGCATCTCACTTGGCAAAGCAGAATACACAGGGAGAATGATCAGTTCAGGCACATCTGGACCAAGAGACTTCATTCTTTCATACAGGATTTCACAGGCTGTGTCAATTTCTTCCTGTCCAGTCAGAAAAACCAAGATATCCCCTATGCAGAAGAAAATTTTTTTAATTTTTTTATAGAATTAAAAGGAGACTAGCCAAAGAAGCTGTGCCATTTTGAGAAATTTGATACAATATAAAGTGCACTTTACAACTTATATGGGTCTGTCTTGCTCCTGGGCCAAAGACAATAGGAAGTCAGTCCTGTAAAAGTGTATGGGGATCTACTGTGCAGATGTGACCAGTGAACTGGGCTTTTCGTATACTATCACTAGAAGCAATGGCCATGAGATCTAGAAAGTATGTATCTGGAAACAGGGAAGGTGGGCTAGTTTAGGTCAAGCAAGTAAACAAAAAGGCTAAGTGCACTTTGTTTTAAAGTGCAATTTTGGGTTAAAGGCCAAACCTACTCCAAACTTGTTTTCCTTGGATCAGGTTATTGCTTTCTTGGTCCCCAAGACAGCAATAACTAACAAATTTCTGCCAACTTCCTCTTCCCTGGCACTGGAACAGAAATTGAAGTGAAGTTTCTCCAAAGCACCCAAAATAAAAACATGGTGATTGGGGTTAGAACCACCATCACTTTCTGTCTTGTTTTACATGTCATGTTAACAGCTTTCAGCGCTCTCACAATGTGAATGACAATTACTCAGGCATACGGCACTGTATCCAAATGAAATTATTTTTTTCAAACAAATAGAGCTTTCATTTGGTGGTATTTAATCACCACTGGGGCTTTTATTTTTTGCTAGAAAAATGAAAAAAGACTGAAAATTGTGGGGAAAAAAACATTTTTCTTGGTTTTTGTTACTAAATTTTGCAAACAAATATACTTTCTTTATAAATTTAAGCCAAAATCCATTGTGCTACATTTTTTTTAGGTAGAAATAACCAAAATCAGTGTGTATTATTTAGTCTTTGTGAAATTTATAGAGTCCACAGACCACAATATATATATTTGAAAATGTATCAATCCTGATGTACTGACTACCTATATAATTTCTTGGGGCCCTAAAATGCCAGGACAGTACAAATACCCCCCAAATGACCTCTTTTTGGAAAGTAAACAATTTTTTTTCCACAAAGTTGTAATTTAACAAGTTCTTTCTCTCACACAGCATAAGCATACTTGCAATTACACCCCACAACACACATTCTGCTACTCTTCCTATGGCGATACCACACGTGTGAAACTTTTTCACAGCTTAGCCACATAGAAGGGACCCACATCCAATAAGCACCCTTAGGCGTTCTAGGGGCAAAAATTACACATCTAATTTCTTGACTGTCTATTACAGTTTTGGAGGTCCTGGAGCACCAGGACAATTGAATTACCCACAAAATTACCCCATTTTGGAAAGCAAACACCCCAAGGTATGTTTTAAGAGGCATGGGGAGTCCTGTGAAGACTTCATTTTTTGCCACAAGTTTTTTAAAAATGTGAAAAGAAAATGAAAATGTATTTTTTTTTTACGCAAAGGTGTCAATCTATGAGATATTTCTATTACACAGCATAGGCATACTTAAAATTACACCTCAAAATGCATTAAACTCCTGCTGAATATGGCGATGCCAAATGTGTGAGACTTTTTCACAGTCTGTCCACATAGAGGGGCTCCACATCCAATAAGCACCTGTTAGCATTCTAAGGGCAAAAATTACACATCTAATTTCTTGGGCCACTTGTGTGGCCATCAGGGCCACTGCTGGGCCACTGCAGTGATCAGGGCAGTGCTGGACCACATGTGCGGCAATCAGGGACACTGCTGGGCCACTTGTGTGACAATCAGGGACACTGCTGGGCCACTGTGGGGCAATCAGGCAATCCGTGTGAGGAGAAGAAGGCGGAAGCGGCACCATGCGGCTTTTGTTTACTTAGACTGTGTCCTTATTGGACACAGCTGAGCACCTGGTATAGGACCGATTTAATTGGTACTGTACCATGTCACGTGATCTGCCGTGTCCGTCAAACTCGGCGATCATCGGGCTCGCGGGTGCGCACTCTAGGAGCCGCACACGAGCCTCACATGCAGGACGCCGTTCAGAAACGGCAACTCGCTCCTGGAAGTGTCCCGTCCCACTGTTGATAAACAGCGGCCGGACAGGAAGTGCCACAGGGAAAGTAAGAGAGAAGCAATTAGTACAGGTATAGCAGGGAATCCTTCCAAGTTTTAATCTTTTCTTACTTAATCTAAAACTGGGAGCATTTGACTCCAACTTGAAAACATTTTTCAAAGAACAAACTTTTTTTTCAAAGAAGCACCAAATACTCTATGCTACAATCATACGAACCTGGTGGCTCTGTCAGATGAATCTGCATAACTGTGATAAGGCTGGCATCCAGGTAATCTGTCTCAGGTTCTTTAGTGTAAAGAATCTCTACAGGGTATGTTCGACCAGGGATGGTGAAAATTGGAGCCTCATAGAAATACTGAGAGAACTTCACAGCATCCAGTGTTGCTGATGTAACAATAAGTTTCATATCTGGACGTTTTTGCACAGTCTTCAAAAGAAAACAAAATGTTAATATTTTTCTAAAAAAAAAACTAGTAAAATATATATGGATTCAGTTTTTTTTTTTTTTTTTTTTTTTTACATATAGAAATAAACTTTTTTAAGTGACTGTAATAGGGCACTTTCATGTAAAAGCAAGCAATTTCAGGTGCACATAGTTTCAGCATTTTTCCAAATTGGTACTTATGTAATGTAAATATTAGTTTTAGCCAAATAGGCACTTTGGACAGATTTCCACCACAGTCATGGGACATTGGTAAGCATTTTTTTAACAAAGCTTTAAAAAGAAAGCTAGAACTATGTGCTGGCAATTGAAACTAATTCACTCTAACACAGCTTCACTGCTATATATTTTCAAAAAGGCAATGCTATCAGTCACACTTTGTACTGCTATATTAATGGATAATGAATCTGAGTCTACTTCAGGCAGGGGGTAAGAAAATCCTAAGTTTACTTAACCCCAGTGATCACTCGCTCAGAATGTTTGTTAAATCTTTCAGTAAGTCACAAAGAGAGAGGCCAGAGCAGAGTTAAACGTTGTGAGAGTACTCGTATACTCATAGCCAAGCCAACAAACCAAAGGTTACCTGGGTCTACATGACTGCAAGTCTGTGTACCCCACCATGCACGTTGGTGCCATGACCCTGTCTCTACAGGACATAGCACTGTACTCTTAAAGCAATTTTTTAAGCTATGGGTTCACATTAACATACAAAGAACATAACAAGGACTGAATGGGTCAACAAAACCAGTTTTCAATTTAAATATCACATAATTATCATGTGTACCTTTTTTAAAAGCCCAAACAGGACATCTGTGTGGATGGTCCTCTCGTGTGCTTCGTCAAGCATGATAATGGCATACTGGGTCAAATCTGGGTCAATAAGACACTCTCTTAGCAACATACCGTCTGTCATATATTTGATGACAGTCTCTGGGCTTGTGCAATCTTCAAATCGAATTGTATAAACCACCTGGAAAAAAGATGAAAGGCAAATTTTAAAACATTTTGTTTTTACGAATGGACTATTTGCAAGTTGTTTACTTTACAATTTAGGGTCATTTAATATAGTAGGCAGTCTCCTTAAAGGCCAAGTTGTGTACAATTTATTGCTTTTCTTAGGAGACTATCTATCTATCTATATATATATATATATATATATAGATCTCTATCTATCCATCTGTCTGTCTATCTATCTATCTATATGCTACATCAATGCCAGAGGCCGTGTAATAGCATAATACAAGCACTGCCAAGCTATTTGCATTGGTCAGCAAGGTCATAAGGCCAACGCTGACCAATTGAGCACTCGCTATTGGGTACAATATGCTGCAATACAGTACCTGGCGCAGTTTAGGGAAGTTTTAAAGTGACAAACTCTTCTAGCAGCTGGAGATGGTGTTGGAACAAAAGGGGTCACATAAGATACATGCACAGAGGGGTGGAGAGAGTGTAGTGAGTTAGTTCATCTTACTAGCCCTTCCAAAGACTATGCCATCACATCTAACAAACGATGACTAGCAGCAGCTGTGAAGCTTAATGCTCCACTCTATGACTGATTTGCAACGTTGACTGAATTCTTTGCAGGACAAGCTGCACACGAGCAGGTAAGGAACGCTCTTCCAGTGTAAATCTAGAATTGACATAGCTAGTCAGTAGAGTGGTATCTCTGTATCTGATGAAGCAACTGATGTTTGATACAATATTCAAGCAACAAGCAGAGGATTAGTGTGGGATGGGGTGTAATATATTAAACAAAGATAAAATATGAACATACCTCCTGCCCCAAACAGCAGCCATATTCCTCAGACACTCTTTTGGCAACAGACATGGCAGCCACTCTTCTGGGCTGGGTACAGCCAATCTTCCCCCCTCGTCGTGTAGCCAGCTTCTGCTAGATACTGAGTGATCTGAGTGGTTTTTCCAGAGCCAGTTTCTCCAATTACTATAAGTATTTGGTTGTCATGAACAGCCTTACGGAAAGAGATACAATGTATCAGTAGACATAAAATGTTTGCACAAATAAACTTTTTGTTTCTCCAAGTCATATAAAAAGGGGTACACTTTCTCTAAGGGGACAACCCTAGAACAAGAACCCAAAGTCATATGGAGGGTGAAGCCTGACACAGAAAAACAAAAACAAAAAAAAACAAAAAAAAAAACATTCATTTATAAAGCACAACTGTATGCATTGTTACATATGCATTATGCATCATGTTCAGGACTCGAAAGCATGAGAATCACCACTGATTTCAAGAATTCCAAGTGGGGGGTTGAGGGGAGTGCCAGGAGGAGGACAGCCTGGTCAAATGACCAGTGAAACGCATGTGAGTACCATCTCCTTCATATCACAGAGCTCACTGCAGTGTTAAACAAAGAGAACTCCTTAGGACACTTGACGTTCCACACAGTCTGAACTCTTAGGTAAAAGTCTTTCTAATCCTTTTCTTCGGGTGGTTCCATTATAGGACAGTCTTTCACTGTTGAAAACCCCCCCCCCCCCCAAAAAAAAACACAGCAAAGAAACTAACAGGCCAAGGAAACAACAGAACCGGGACAGCCTTCAGCTAAAAGTGCCACAGGAAAGGCCTTACGCCAAAAACTGGCATCAGATGAGGCAGCAACGTCCATCTTGGTTAACAGAAGACCAGCTGATAGCCTTGCAAATCTGATAAATAGTTTCTTGATGCTGGAAAGCCCAAGAAGCACTCATGGATCTGGTAGAGTGCTCCTTTACGAGAAAGGTGGAACCTAATCCTAAAGACAATAAGCTTGGATAGTGGTCTGCCTAAGCCATCTAGAGATGGTGCATTTAGAAGCGGGTGCGCCCTCATGGGGTCCATTGGGGATTACAAAAAAGGTATATGTCTTTCTGACAAACCGGCTGAAAGGTAGACTCTCAAAGCCCAAACTGCATTCAGAATATTGAATAAAATTTCCTTTTGGTTAACAGAAGCCAAACAAACAGTTGTAAGAACGATGTCCTGAGAGAGGAGAGAGGTAGAAACTACCTTTGACAAGAAGGAAGTCAAGGGTCTCAACACTACCTTGTCCCTATGAAGAAAAAGAAGGGGTTCCTTGCAGAATAAGGCCACCAATTCAAACATTCCCCTTGCAGAAATAATGGCTACAAGAACCACCATCTTGTAGACAAGCAATGTCTCCAATTGTTTTAAAGGGTAACTCCACTTTCATGGAAAAAAAAAGTTAGCAAATAAAAAAAAAAAAAACCAGTATTTTCTGGCGTATAAGACTACTTTTTATACTTAAAAATATACCCCACAAATTGGGGGTCGTCTTATACGTGGGGTATAAAATGTGAACCTTGAGTTTGTTTGGGTCAAGCTGGCTGGATGTGTGGTAATACTGTACATACAGTATACCGTGTTGAGCCAAGCTGGCTCAAAACAAATGTCCCTATGACAATCTGTCAGCCCGCTGGATGTGCGGTATATACAGTATACTGCGCTGAGCCAAGTGGTTTTCAAAATGTACCGCTACATCCCTACTGTAATCAGCCCGCTGGATGCGTGTATGTACGGTAGCTGTGGCTACATACAGTATACGCTGGGCCAATCACGGCGAGCGATGTATTCTACTAATGAATACAAAGCCTGCTCGGATTGGCGGAGTCAGAGAGGTGGCCTGATGATGTCACAACCTCAGCCAATCCGAGCAGGCTTTGTATTCATTAGTAGAGTACATCGCTCGCCGTGATTGGCCCAGCGTATACTGTATGTAGCCTCAGCTACTGTACATACACCTGTGACATTACTTCTGTTGCTTGAAGGGAATGGCCATCTTGGAAGAGGACAATTGTCCTGTTTATGGTACAAGGCATAATTAGGTTACAACAGAATGTAAGTGCACAGTTTGGGCTGTTTGTTGTTTTATCATAATAAAGCAATATTACACTATGCACGGCCCTTTCCTGTATCTGTTCTACGGCGGCATGGAGATTACTGGAGGATGGTTTTAAATGGTATAACTGGAGGAGAGTGGGAAAAGGGCATACCCCGTGGAGTAAGAGTTGATACACAAAAAGCACATTAAGGAGTCACATCATGTGGCAAGTGTAGTTTCACTAGGGTAAGTGTGGCACTCAGTGGTCACAAGCACAAGAGTTTGTTTATGGCACACTGAGTATGGATCAACAGGCACTTGAAGCATATCTGCACTGAAGAGTGGGACGTTTTTGTATATGGATGAAGGACTGTTTAGTAGCATCAGTTTTGGAAGCATGCTATTTATTTATTTTCACCCATAGGGAGTATGTTTGTACAAATAGGAAAGATTGTGAATATAGCATTCTCTATGTTTATGATTTAGTAAGCATATCACATGCATTTAAGATTTGACACAGTGAGAACAGTTCTCTTTATTCAAATATTATTTATGTATTTATTTAGTTAACAGAGGTCTTAGAGTCCTGCACCTTCTTTCTGTTATTCTGAAACCTTCTTGAGATTCAAAGTGACACAGCAGAAATGGGAAATGGAGAACGTAGGACTGGGTCTCTACTGCGATTTGGGTTCCCAAAATTCTACTCTAAAAACAATTGGGTTTCATTTAGACTTTTTACATGACAAATTTAAAGTATATGTACAGTGTGCAGTACAGAGAAATACCCATTTAACTACCAGAAATGCAGAGCTCCTAGTGATGTCATCCCTGCCCCATGACTTTTGCTAAACTACTCAACCACACCCGCTCTCAGATCTCCACAACATAAAGACCAATTATTCTGTAGTCCATGACAAGAACTAGGAGGGCTTTTGAGATAATACAGAAGTGTGTAAAGGACACAAGAAAGCTCTGAATTTCTGGACAAGATCAACAGTTTTTTTTTTTTTTCAAACCGATATAAGAAAAAACGTTTCCTATGTTATATCGAACAAAGCAAAATGGAAAAAAAAAAAAAAAGAAAATTCACTGTTCAGGTCTACATATATTTTTAAAGTGACACCATAGTAGGGAAACTCAAGAAACAAGGTCTAGACTACCTTCTAGCAAGGGACTAACAATAGAAAAAGGCGGGGAAGAGTCATTACAGAGGAAATACCTTGTACCCTGTAACATCACTTATCCAAAACAGACTCCTGAAAGAAACACAAAAATAATACAGCCTGTTATGACTTTGTACCTGCACCAGCTGGTCTTTTAGCTTGTAAATGGGGAGACTCTCTCTTTGCTCAATAATTGACATCTGAGTCTTCTTTCCGTAAGAGGCCTTGTTGCCACCAAATGCATGCTTTTTCCATTCTGGAATATCATTTGGCATCATTCCAATACCCCTCATGTTAGCAGCAATCTGTCGGCCATCAACTGTAAAAATAAAACAGATTCCTATGTAACTCAGATGGTAAAAACACAACAGAAAACACAATATATAACTCAAGCACAGATAGGAGAGTAACAAATGGTTAGCCTGTGGAGTAACCAGCTAGAAGACAGCCTAAAGCCTCCAAAAGCAGCACAAATCAAACGCTGCAATTCCTGCAGCACTTATACACAAATCCTTTGTGCAAAAATGAACATAAAGTAATAAATGACATGTATAATAAATAAAACAAGACACTCACTCTATATTGGCAGCTGCATGTTTCTTTTCAGCTGTGTTGCTTCAATGCTGCTAATGCAGTGCAATTATGTGTGTGCCTAATTACAGGTACAATAGGAGCAGAGCAAGGGAGAGGAGCACTAATCAACTTGACACAAACAGGCTGGTCACTGGCAACCAGCATGGCAACTGAGAACACGATCCAAACCTTTCAAGTGAAAATACAGCTTTGGAAAAGAAACTAAAGCAAAGCATAGTTCCCTCTAACAGCTCCTCCCCAGTTGTAACAGAACAGAAAGTCACAACTTTGCATTTCACGGTCATTGCCGTCAACTGAAAATTTAACTATATAAGAGGGTACTTGCTCAAATTATCAATTTTTTCCTTATTTTAAAGTTATAATTTCATAATTAGGAATGCAGAACAGAAAACACACCATCAGGCAAAGGGTCCACCCAGTGTTTGTTCAGTCCCATGGGGATAGAATCCATTTCAGCTTCCCTCTGTGCTTGTTTAACTTCTCTTCTTTCTTTAGCTAAAGCACTTTGCATCATGGCTGCTTGGGAAAGAGAACCATCGGGGTTCTGCAAAGAAAAATTAGAAAATAACAAAGTTTTACTAACAAAGGGATTGTGATCAATGCTGTGGTGTTGGCAACATATTATTACCAAAAACAACAAAAATTCTCCAACACATCTTTACCTTCACTATTTTGATGGGGCTCATGTCCATGCTCTGTTTTGTATGTCCTCTGAGGAATGGGGGCTCCTCTTCCACCAATTCAATTTCCAGGTCTTCATCTGACCAACACAAAACAGTTGCAAACACTTAACATATGGGAAGAGTTCAGTAAAGATATGTACTTTACCAACATTAAAACCTGGCCAATTCTGACACTTCTCTCATACATGTCAATCTGCATTTTTTTGGTAGAAAATGACTTAGAATGCTAAACATTATATATTTGTTGATGCAAATGCCCTAGAGAATAAAGTGTTGGGTTTTGCAATTTTTTATGTCAAACAGTATTTGGATAGGGGTTTTTCAAATGCAAATGGTTTGGAAGATATACACTTTAATGAATTTTAGTGAACATATACATAACATAATACTCAATCTTTTGCCAAAATATAAAAAATGTTACACTGAGTAAATGCAAAACATGTCACACTATATTAATTAAGCCTGCGGAACTGGGACAAACTACAGTACATTCAATTATCCATATCCACAGTTTAAAAGCCTTTACAGGTTGCCAGTTTAGGAGGTCTGGCATCAGAATTATTGCTCTCACTCTTTCACGGTGATAGCTCACACATGAGCGATGAATACTGCTCACATATGTGTGTCTGACCGACGCATGCATTCGCCCATGAGCACAGGGGGACGGGAGAGCTTATAAAAAAAATTTTTTTAATGTAATTTATTTTTTTAATTTGTTTTTCCAAGGTACCATAATTTTTTTTTTATTCCTATCACAAGGAATGAACATCATCCCTTGTGATAAAATGGGCTGTGACAGGTCCTCTTTATGGAGAGATCTGGGGTCTATGAGACCCCATATCTCTCCTCTGGCCTCCAAAGCAGAAGATTAAACAGAGGCAGGTTTGATCTGCTGCTTCACAAGCCAGTAACGGCTTGGCTTGTAAACAAACCAAAACCAGAAGTGACCAAAACCTCGTTGCTTCCGGTTTCTGATGTCACACAGTGGGAGGAACAGCATCGGTTTCCCCTCACTGTGTCCAAGGAAACAGATGCCGCTAGTGGCATCCTTACAGGCTCCCTAATCGAAACAAGTGAGCCTGGTAAAGGTGGTGGCTGAAAGGGGGAGCTCTTTTGCTGCCTGTAAAAGCGATCCAATATCAGTATAACCACTAAGAATACTTTTATATTTTAGAGAATCGCCAGCAGTAAAAAACAATACTGAAACCATGGTTGTAGCATCAGCCTTGCTCCCAGTATAACGACTTCAATACATTGACATATATGTATGTACGGTCATACTGAGGTAGTTAACAAATCTAAGAATAATTTGTAGTATTCCAATTGCACATGTTCCTGGAAGGTAAACAGGTTCTGTGGCAACTACAAGCTGGCAACATCATAGGCCGAAGTATATATCACCAGCACAACAAAGGATCTTTGAAAAGTTGTCTGAACGTTTATTTAGATAATCACATAATCAAGGTGCAATGCTTTAGGTTATACAGGACCCCTTTGTCAGGCATGTGAACACATGCTGAAACTTTACACCTTACTTGTGTGATGAGATCATCTGAATAAACCAGACAATTACTTAAAGATCTTTTTGTGTGCTGGGGATATATACTATGGATAACAAATCTAAGTACTCTTTAAGAAAATAGAGTTAAAATAACTGAATTATTTAAACGTTTTGGACAGTGTGAAAGGGATAAAACCCTGTCAGTGTCCAGAGAAACTGACGAGAGATCCAAAATGTTATGGTTGTCACCAGAACTGGAGGCAGGGTGAAACTTTGTGGGGACACATGTTCTAGTGATAATGGAGAGGATTTCTTGTCACCCTATGCAACACAGGCAGCTTAAAAGAAACCAATAGGGGGCGTAAGTCTTTACTACTCTATCCAAATCTAAAGCAATGTTTTGGTTTCAAATATATTTTAAGTCCAAAAATGAGCCTTATAAGACATAAAAAACAGCAACCAGGCTTCCAACAGGTTCTAAGTACTTATTGGAGTACCTAGTCATAGAGGGGCCCATGGTTCAACACTCACCTTAGAACAGAAGTGGAATTCCAGGCACCACCTAACAAATTTTTAAAATGCTCCCTCCTCCTAAGATCTACACTGACTAACTTGTGTGAGAGAGGTCACTATGCTTACCTATTTTTAGGCTGTTCTGGTCCAGTCACATGATCCAGCTTCCTTGTGTCAGCCAGCATAGCTTCATGGGAGAGGAGGGAGTGCTGACAAAGGATGGGCAATAGTAGGAATATGGATGAAGTCACCACTGTAGGCTTTATGTTGTCAGAGTAACCTCCACTCTCTCCTGCAGCCATGCTGGCTTAAACAGCGGAGATCACGTGAGCAGAGCAGCCTGAAAAAAGGCAAGTATACAGATCTTTATGACAAAGGTTAGTCAAAATAAGATTTAGGAAGAGGGAGGGGAAGTTTTAAAATTAGTTAGGTGGTGCCTGGAATTCCACTTTGAGGAAGGTTTTGCCAAAAATGACTTACCTTCTTCATCATCCACCTTGGGCAGGATACCAGTCTCCTCATCAAAATCAGGAAACTCCTCTTTGGAAAGGACATTGGCCGCAATCATCTGAAGCAAAAGAAATTAAGTGGTCACTATTGAATTAAAAAAATCTAAAGAGTTTTTGGCCATATTTCTTCTCTTGTGCACTTACTTTTGCTCTCCTGTGACCCAGAATAGCCAACAGTGAACTATAAACTACAGCAGTTGACATGGTGGAGCAGCTCCCGGCTCTGTAGAGCTGGCAGCCAGAATGACAGTGGGCTCTCCCTCTCAGCACGCAGCTGAGAGCTGGAGCCAGCTGAGCCTGCCTCCTCGATTGCCCGAAGCTCCAATGAGCTGTGCTCTGAGCAGACTAAGGACTGAGAAATCAAGTGACCACTCAGTTCTCAGTCTTAGAGCAAACTTGGGACTGCTGCACCATCCCACCGAGCCGATTTTTTTTTGCGACCCCAAACTTTTCCTTTAATTTCCAAGGGGTACCTTGACACAACCCCTAAATGAAAGTTGTTATTAAAACACATGTTCCTTCTCTTCATACCCACACTCCCCTTTAGTACAACAGCCAACTTTTCACTACTCCCACACACGGAGTACAGTTCTAGATTCAGAATTACTTCCCTAGGCCAAATTTATGAACATGGCAACATCAAATCTTCTGATAAAATAACAGCAGAGTTTCACCTCTCCCTTATGTTTTATGCACTCTATCTAGTTTCAGTATGCTGCCTACACCCAAATTCCCTGACCCACTGGGGACCTTTCCCAACTGCCCAGTCCTTAACTCTTTAGCGGGCTTATCTTCAACTAAACAGTATTCCAGAAGTTACCAGCATCTACTTGATGCTCAAGTGTAAAAGTCAGCATATTTTAAAATACCTACTGGAAAATGGAATTAGGCACGTTGCATGACGAAGAATGGAAGAGAATTTTTTTTGGCTCATAAATAGGACTCAACTGTACAGATTACATGGAGCCTTACTGACCCTAACTCACTGTTGTCAAAGTATAGGCCACAAAATTACCGTAAATGTCAACTCCTCCTAGGCACCTTCACGTGTCCAATCTGGGCATGCCCTGAAATCAGTGGTTACTGGAAACACATAGTGGAGTTCCTTCACGATCCAAGTGATTCCCAGTGGGACTAGACACCAAAGTCAGCCTACTGGATATTATTGAACTCCAGCATACTGAAGTTTTGCTGTTCAAACTCTTTATACAGCAAAAAAGGAGATCGCTAAGACCTGACTACCGGCTCTCCCAACCACAATGACATTTTGGTTGATTCATTAATAATACCTTAACGCTAAGAGTGATTTATGAACTTGGAGGTTGCCCACACAAATACAACAACATTTGGGGTAGATGGCTCTCCTTGACCTGCACTCCTTTATTTCTGCAATGGAGAGCTCCTCATTTTTTTCTCTCCTTAGTAAGAGAACCACAAATGGAAAGTGCTTATTGCTAATCCAAAGTTCAAATTGTACATAGCTGGATGTATGGTTCTAATTTTCTCTTTAAACACAGTGACAGGATTGCAATTATAATGCAGCACCTGACTGTACTCTGTTTCTGCCATGCTGAACAGTCATATGATTTGCACAACCTGTGACATATTTTGTCTTTCACCTGTGTTATGTGATAACAATAATGTATGCTTACATGTCAAGCTGTGCTTCCATATTATTATGTATATACACTATGTACATTGCAATAAAGTTTCTTCTACAAGGAGGGGAAAAAAATAGGTCATTTTTAAAAGTGCATACCTGTTTAATTTCCCACTTTTCTGGGTCAGAAATCTTGGTGAGACGTTTTCTTTCCAAAGTATCATCTTCTACTTCAGGAGCATTTACCAAAGAAAGGTGGCTGGGTCTGTCTGGATTCCTCATTGAAGCCTCTTCATTGTTCTCACCTACAAGGTTCCTCCGTCTGTTGGGATTTAAGTCTTCCCCTGTATCCTGATCGACATCCTGTGTTACAAGGGAAGGTATAATATGGATGACATATACTCAATAGGAAAAAAAGGCCTGCAATGGCATCACAAAAAAGCACTCAGATTTCTCAGTCTAACGCCTTCCCACCCACAATCTCACACTTCATGTGGCTGACAACTTTTGCCATTTTACTATACCACAGAAATCACTTGCAGGCTGGAGGATTCAGAGTAAAAAGCAGGATGTTTTACTGTACCTGGAGTTCATTAAAGGAAATGGTGAAGTAATTCTGAGACCATGGGTTATGCTGCTGCTTTCAGGGGATTGGGCACAGGCAAACAAAGCTGTAAGAAAGCCTGGTATAACCCCCCCCCCCCCCCCCCCCAACCCACGCTCCAAGCATGCTCCAGGTTTCTGGAAAACCAGAAGTTAGAGTAGATCTTAAAGTGATACTAAACCCACAACAGTAAAATCAGTCTCTATATGCAGTAAAACATGCTTGTTATACTCACTGTGGAACCTAAGAGGTTAATCCTCTGCACTGTGTTGTGCACTGCTCTTTTATCCTGACTTCTCAGATCCTCCCCATCTTCCAGTGCCCCCCCCTCTTATCTCCTGATAAGACATATCCTGTGGAGACACTCTACACATGCTGAGTTTGGTGTGTATGGCTAGAGAAGTGTTTTTTTTTCTTGGGGGAGTGCATATGATCAGCACAGGGTCAATCTGCACTGTCCAGACAGAGGTCAGTGGTTCTGCATCCTCCTAGAGCAGAATGAAAACTCCTCCTACAAGGTTTAACCAGTGCTCTGCTGAACACTGATAAAAGTCACGAGACTGCTATATAATGCTGCTGATAAAAGGTATTTAGCAGATTATATTTACTAAAATAATTGCATTTCCATGTTCTGTGTACTGTGGGAGACCAGATATAGTGACTGAGGGTCCTGGGTTTAGTAACACTTTAAGAACAGAGGGTGGGTCCTGCATCTCAAAGTGGTTGTGTCTCAGCATTACATTACCCTGTGTCCCTTAATGAATGATTAAGAAAAATGATTTTGGTCTGCAGATGAAAGCTACAACCTATTGCACTCCAATGGACTCTGTAGTGCAATATGTTTAAAATATTGGTACCAAATAAAAAGACTTGTGTCATAAAAATGCATTTGGATAAGAAAAGAAGTCAAAGTTATTGTCAAGTTAACTGACATATTCAAACATTCCTAAATGTGTCCTGGGCATCTAAGCCTCAATGGCTTCTTGTTATAGAAGGTTTAAAATCATTTTCATTGCTTTGTCATTGCTGTCATTAATACATGCAATAAATAAGCCCAGCATTTGACAAGCAATGAAAATGATTTTAAACCTTCTATGACAAGAAGCCATTGATGCTTAGATGCAAAGGCCAAATTTAGCAATGTCTGAATATGTCATATGGAAAAAAAATATATACACTGCTCAAAACTTTGAAAACACATCAGATCTCTTGTTCAAACATTTTATTGAAGTACGGAAATGGAGTACATACAGAAGGTAGCAATGAACATTTCAGAAAATGAAGTAAATAGATACAAGGCCTAAGGCAACTGAACGTACAAAGTTAATGCAATATAGTAGCTAAAGAGAGGTAGAAAAAGAAGGAAGTAGAAGAATAAGGTAGAAAGAGGTGGGGGGGGGGGGGGGGGGGGGGGAGTGATAAGCGTTTAAGTGTGTGACATCCAAGACAAGGTAGGGGAGGTGGGGTGGGACTAGACCTGAGCTCCAAAGCAACTGCTTTGTGAGGGGAGGTATTAAGGAAGAAGCAACGATTCATCAAAACCATGGGGGAGGAAGTGGTCGACCCAGGGAGACCAGATCGACACAAATTTAGGGAGAGTGCCTGTGATGGTGGCTTCCACTTTGGCGTGTATCATGGCCTGTGTCACTTTATTCCGAACCGCCGGAATGGTAAGTGAAGTTTTCCAAGACTTGGCAATAATTTGCTTTGCTGAGGTAGTGACCTGCAAAGGGAGCTTAAACTAAAAAAACACATCAGATCTCAATGGGGAAAAATCTCATGCTGGATATCTAAACTGATCTGGACTGGGTAATGTGTTAGGAACGTAAGGATGCCCCATCGTTTGATGGAAATGAAAATGATCAACCCACAGAGGACTGAATTCAAAGACACCCTGAAAATCCAAGTGAGAAGATGATGCAGCAGGCCAGTCCACTTTGCTAAAATTTAATTGCACTCATGGTACTCATGATATAACTCATGGTACTCAATAGTTTGTATGGCCCCCATGTGCTTGTATGCATGCCCGACAATGTGTGTGGCATGCTCCTAATGAGATGACGGATGGTGTCCTGGGGTATTTCCTCCCAGATCTGGACCAGAGCATCACTGAGCTCCTGCGCAGTCTGAGGTGCAACCTGGCGGCATCAGATGGACCAAAACATGATATCCCAGAGGTGTTCTATTGGATTTAGGTCAGGTGAGCGTGGGGGCCATTCAATGGTATCAATTCCTTCATCCTCCAGGAACTGCCTGCATACTCTCACCACATGAGGCTGGGCATTGTCGCGCACCAGGAGGAACCCAGGACCCAGTGCACCAGCGTAGGGTCTGACAATGGGTCCAAGGATTTCATCCCGATACCTAAATGGCAGTCAGGGTGCCATTGTCTAGCCTGTAGAGCTCTGTGCATCCCTCCATGGATATGCCTCCCCAGACCATCACTGACCCACCACCAAAACGGTCATGATGAACAATGTTACAGGCAGCATGATGTTCTCCACATCCTTTCAGGTCTGTCACATGTGCTCAGGGTGAACCTGCTCTCATCTGTGAAAAGTACAGAGCGCCAGTGGCGTACCTGCCAATTCTGGTGTTCAATGGCAAATGCCAATCAAGCTCTATGGTGCCAGGCAGTGAGCACAGGGCCCACTAGTGGACGTCGGGCTCTCAGGCCACCCTTACTAAGTCTGCTTCTGATTGTTTGGTCAGAGACATTCGACCCAGTGGCCTGCTGGAGGTCATTTTGTAGGGCTCTGGCAGTGCTCATCCTGTTCCTCCATGCACAAAGCAGATACCGAGCCTGCTGATGGGTTAAGGACCTTCTACGGCCCTGTCCCTCTCTGCTACTTAACTGACCAGATCAATATCCCAAGAGTTTAATTGACTTGATGCTATACTCTTAAAAAGTGTAATGTATATCTTCTCCTTTTGTTGATAATATAGGAATAATTGTTATTACATAATATAACAAGAGGGAAATGAGTATTCATCAAGGACACACCCATATAGCAGTTCAAGTGTACAGCAATGTTTAGGTTATAAATACATTAACCACTTCAAGTCCGGACACTTTCACCCCCTTCCTGCCCAGGCCATTTTTCAGCTTTCAGTGCTATCGCACTTTGAATGACAATTGCGCGGTCATGCAACACTGTACCCAAATTAAATTTTTTGCATTTTTTTGAGACAGATAGAACTTTCTTTGATTTCAGTGGTAATAATTCACCACTGGGATTTTTATTTAAATTAACCCAAATCAGTTTATAGAAAAATAATTATAAATTAAAAAAAAAAAGTAGTTTTACAATTTTATTTTATTTTTTTTTTACATACTGTACTTACTACATTCCTGCATCCACTGAGAAATACTGTGAAAGTTGTATTTGGTCGCAGTTTATCACATGGTACAAGGCTGCGGTGAATGGCTTTGTACCATGTGACCACTGTGATCATTCACAGAATTCACAAGTAGTAAACAATGTCAGAATGTGATACCTTGTTTACTACTGTTCATGTGATCACTGATTGGCCAATCAGTGATCACATGAATCGGGACCTCACAGAGAGGTCCCGTACAGCGATTGATGTTCAGATTGCGGCGCTGTGCGCTCCCAGGGAGTGCTGAGCGAACTATTGGCGCTTTATAAATACTGTATAATAAATAATAATAATTATTCACAGGCAATGGGGGAAATATCCCCACACATCAGCAATGCTGAAGGAAGAGGTTAATAACACAATTTGATTTATTATACTGTAAAGCGCTGAGCAAACTATTGGCGCTATATAAATCCTGTATAATAATAATAATAATATTTTAAACCATACCTTCATACTGAGGCTAGTTTTGCATCCAGTGAAGGAAAGTACCTTGACCTTCACTCTCTGGCCTTTGCTTACTACATCAGCAACATTAGCCACACGACCTTCCCTCCTCAGCTCCGAAATGTGTACCAATCCTTCCCAACGTTTTCTGTGGACAAAACAGTAAAGTTATAACCATGAGGTGAAGTACTTCCAGGTTGCCAAATAGTAAACAGTTGCTAAAGCCCTGTCTCAAATAATCAGTTACCTTAGGCCTTCCAGCTGAACAAAACAACCAAACTGCATAATGCTGGTGACTTTGCCATTATAGATATCACCAATGGCTGGCTCTTCAGGGGGCGGCCTGTCTACATGTTTCTCCCTCCAACGATCATTAAACCTTTCAGAGTGCTGCTCCCGGTTCTTGATGGGGCTTCGACTCCTTGACTTGTGTGGACTTTTCATTCTTTTTCTGTCTCTGGATCTGGAACGGGATCTATCCTTTCTTTTGTGACCTCTGTCTCGGCTGCAACTGCGGTTCTTCCGTCCTCTGTCTCTACTATGACTGCGGCTTTTCCGTCTTCGGTCTCTGCTGCGACTACGGCTTTTCCGACTTCTGTCTCTGCTGCGACTCTTCCGACCTCTGTCTCGGCTGCGACTTCTTTTTTTCTTATTTCTAAAATTGACACAACACTAAGATTTCTGTCAACCATTACATAACAACAAAAGGTGATAACTAAAATCATAGCCTGCATATTGAGAAGTACAAAAGTCATATTATAAGAAGTATTTTAGATTAATTGAAAACTAAATTGCTACCATGTCTTCTCAAATATTGCATACGCAATTATATTCAAAAAAGCAATACATACTTGTGTTTACTACTCTTTTCCTTTTCTTGAATGATTGCACTAGGCATTAGAGCTTCTAGTTCTTTCAAAGTATCTGCTGCCACCTTCAGATCTTCTGGATCAAGCATGGTCTGAAAGACATAAAAAGTGGAATTTTACACGTAACTTTATTAAAAACAAACAATGTTCTTTACACCACATTAATAATTTTACCACCAAAATTAGTGTAATGCAGTACTACAGTTTCATTTTGCTGGTGGCTGCCATTTTGCTGAAGACCAGAGCCCACGACCAACAGTATATCTTTAGGCTGTCAGCAGATCGGCCTCTACAGTTTAGGTACAGTGCCAAAAAATAGAGCAACTGAGCATGAGTAGAGCAGGGCGAGACAGTGTATTGCTGGATTTTAACTTCTCCAATACCGCCGTACGTACAGTGGGTACAGAAAAGAATCATACCCCTTAAAATAATCACAGTTTTTGTTGCTTTGCAGCCTGAAATGAAGACAGACACCGTTTTTGTTTTACCCAGCTGTATTTACTCAGTGCAACGTATAACATCAATGTGAAAGATGTAACACCAATATGTCAGAAACAAAATTCAAAAACAGAATCGCTCAGTTGGAAAAAGGATCACCACCCTCCTAAAATGACTTAGAAACTCAATCAGGTGTGGCTAATCACCTTCTCAATGACACAGAAAGCTATATGACTTTCAACTGTGATTAGCTGTGGTCATTTTGATTAGCGCAGCATGAAAAGAGCTTTCTGGGAGCATTTCAACCTCTGGTAGGGCAACTGAAGCAAACAATCAACTATGGGTGGTAAGGCACTGTCAAAAGATCTCAGGGATAAAGCTGTGGACAGGCACAAGTCAGGAGATGGATATGAAAAAATGTCAAAGGCTTTATCAATGCCTAGAAGCACAGTGAAGTGTATGATTAAGTGGAAGGTATTTGGTAGAACACAGACCCTCCCTGGATCAGGACATCGCTCCAAAGTGGAAAGAGCGAAGAGGAAACTGGTCAGAGAAGCTACCAAGAGGCCTTCAGCAACTCTGAAGCAGTTGCAGGAATTTATGACAAAGAGTGGAGTGTATGCATGTGACAACACTATCACAAATTCTGCACAAATGTGGCTTGTATGGGAGGGTTGCAAGAAAAAAAAAAAAAAAAGCCTCTCCTCAAGAAAGGCCACATGCAGTCATGACTGAGCTTTGCAAAATGCACCTTGAACATTCTGAGGCCACATGGAAAAAGGTGATTTGGTCAGATGAGAGTAAATTTGGATTATTTGGCCTCAACACTAAACGATATGTCTGGTGGAAATCCAATACAGTTCACCATCCAAATAACAGCATTCCTACAGTAAAGCATGGAGGTGGTAATACCCTGTTATGGGGGGTTTCTCTGCAGCAGGGACTGGAGCACTAGTCAGGATAGAAGGAAAAATGGATGAGGCAAAATACCTTCAAATTCTTGAGGAAAATCTGCCGTCCTCTGCCAGAAAGTTGTCAATAGGAAGAAGGTTTACCTTCCAACATGACAATGAACCAAAGCACACAGAAAATATGACCACACAGTGGTTGAAGGAGAAAAGGGTAAATGTCCTTGCACGGCTTAGTCAGAGCCCAGACTTAAACCCCATTGAAAATCTATGGTATGACTTGAAGACTGCAATCCACAAATCTTCACCCTCAAGCAGATTTATTGCTGGACACAGCAAAAGCTGTTTCCTCTGTGATCAACAGGTGGCGGCGCTCATTCATTGGCTGGCACCAGTTGATCATCATCTGCTGTGTCCAGCAATAAATCTGCTATAGGGTGGACAGAAAGTGAGTAAAGAGAATCCGTCACTGTAAACGATGATATTGGGTTCATGGTTGTAAATCTGTTACAGATTAGCGCACGCCCACAGCGACTAGCTAACTGGGCGTGATCCTTGGCTTACGAGTAAAGAGGGAATGAGGTGGACTTACTTTGAGCATATAAGACTGGCTGTGATACCCTTTCACAGCCTGCACTACCTCTGTCCACCACTAGAGGTAGATTCCACTCCAATCTAGCTGGCTGACCACACAGAGGCTGATATGATCCTTATATACAATCTGGTGCACTCTAAAGTTTGGGGAGCAGTCTAGCAAATAGCACACCCCTCTTGGATTCCTCCATCTTTCCTACAAGCTAGAACCCCAGTGTTAATCACTCTTACACTGTCCACAACCCCCCACACCAGACACACAACAAACAGTAGCTTGCCACCACCCAAGAGTTTGTCAGCAGATTGGTCTGCTGGGACACCATACGCACGCACACACGCCCATCTGGCAGATCTGCTACTTTACAATTATGCAATCTACCAAATGCAGTGCAATTACATACAGACTAGTAATGAACTTAGACCAAGCATATAGAAACTACAATACAGCAATCACTCCAGGGACAGTAGTCACTTATTTTATGATTTGATATCCCAAAAGTAGGCAGTGCATAAAATATGTACTAAGACAAAAGGAATTACAAAAAAATACAAGACAAAAAGACACACAATTGGCTATTCACTGTAAGATAAAAAGGGAATAAAACAGAAATAAAACTTAACCCAGATTTATCCTGTGACTGGAGCAAGTCGAAAGAAAGTCCGCAATTCACCAGTCAAATGGAACCAGCTCCGTACGAATCACCCCATCCATATCTCAAGGGCCTCAATTTATTGAAATATGGATGTGGGCTGGGCTTTAGCCCTTGGCCAATCAACCCTGGCCCAAAGGACATTCTGTGTTCTGAAGTGCCCAGAGCTGAATGGGTCAGGAACGGTTCAGATCACTGGGTTAGGGGTAGGATTTCTGACACCAGAGCGTCAGGCTAATTGTGACAGCACCAATCACTGTTCAGCTGTCGCAGTCAGGCACCATATAACCATTTTGTGTGTTAATCTGGGATTCTACATGGAAATGGTAGAGCCCTCCTTTTAGAATTCAACAAGGTGAGAAATCCATGTCCAGCCCGATGTGAAAGCTTTACTGGCATCTCGGTGTCAACTTTATCCTAGAAGCTTGTTCTATCCTTTCAGATGCTGATTAAAAACATATGTGTCTGACTGACTAGGGAATACTGTATCTCTAATAAACACAGGATTAAACTATATCTACAATGACATATTTCTACAGATCACACCAGAGGTTTGCGAAATGTTATAGTGTCTACAAATGGTGGTGTATATACTGGAATTTTTTTTATACTAGTAATGGCGGTGATCAGCGACTTATAGCGGGAATGCAATATTGTGGCGGACAGTCTGACACTGATGCTGTATAAAAACAAGGCAGAGCTGTGTTATATGAGGGAATAAAATCTAGCTGATTGCCTAGTAAAAACAGCACACTGTACAAACAAAAACACTGGCTAGGCACACAAACAACCCTTTGATCACCCAAGATGTTTAACCCCTTCCCAACCAGTGTCAGCATGTACATTTTTAGCACTGATCACTGTATCAGTGTCACTGGTTCCCACAAAGTGTCAGTTAGCATCAGTGTCAGACTGTCCGTCACAATATCACAGTCCAGCTATAAGTTGCTGATCACCGCCATAACTAGTATAAAGTGAAATAAAAATTCCAGTATATACACCGCCATTTGTGGAGGCTATAACATTTGCGCAAACCAATCAATATATGCTTACTGGGATTTTGTTAATGAAAAATATGTAGCAGAATTTTTTTTTAGAAATGTAGGTTTTTTTTTCGTTTATAGTGCAACAAAAAAACCCCAGAGGTGATCAAATACCACTAAAAGAAAGCTCCATTTGTGGGAAAATAATGACAAATTTAATTTATGTACCGTGTTGCATGACCGCGCAATTGTCAGTTAAAGTAACTCGGCGCCGTAAAAATACAGAGACTAGGGATGCACCAATACTTTGTCTGAAATATATTGACCAAAAATAGTGTTATCGGCATTAGGCCGATAGGGAAAAAGTTGGCAACAATGGCCACCGAAAACGCGTGATTTTACCATGTTTTTCATAGGTCAAGTAACTCACGTGTGTGTTTTTGATTTCAATGCATTTCAGGCCTGTTTCACGCCAATGCAGTTTGTGTTTTGTTTGTTATGCAGTGCATTTTTGCATGCACATTTTTTTACGTGTTTTGCATTTTTTGGCCAACTTGTTGCTGGGCAGATTAGAAACGCATCAAAAAAGCAACACGTGTGCATTTTTGCTACATTTTCAATGCATTTCAGGCCTCTTTCACACTAATGCAGTTTGTGGTTTGTCCGTTTTGCAGTGTTTTTTTTTTTGCGATTTTGGTGCCTTTTACATTTTCTAAATTCTTTTCTTGGCCAACTTGTTGCTGGGCAGATTAAAAATGCAAAAGGCTTTTAAAATGCAATGCATTTCAGGCCTGGTTCACACACCAATGCAGTTTGCGTTTTGTCTGTTTTGCAGTGCATTTTGCATTTTTGCACGTTTCATTTTTTATGTGTTTTGTGTTTTTTGAATGGGTTTTTTTTTTTGCCAATTTGTTGCTGGGCAGATTAAAAATGCAATACGCACTACATGAGTTTTCTGCAGCATCTCCATTGAAGTCTGTTGAACCAAAAACGCAACTTTTGCATTTAAAAAAGTCCCTGACCCTTTCCAAAAATGCAGAAGCTTAAAAAAGCCTAGATGTGAAGGTGTCCCATAGGAAACCATGTTAAATGGACTGTGTGTTTCTGAAAAAAACCCTAAAAAACGTATTGGTGCGAACTAGGCTTCAAATAGGGAGGTGCGTTTTATTAACTCACCAAATATGCACCAAAAATGCAGCAAGCGGGATTTTTAACACACGGGAAGCAAAATTGACCAGTGTGAAGACATACACTGAATTTAAAAGGGATGCATTTTTCTTGAGCTTTTATTGTGTTTTTTTTTTTTTTTTTGTTTTTTCAACGGAAAAGTCCTACAAAAAACTGCTCAGTGTTAAAAGCAGCCTATTGGCTGAAAAGGTGCTGAAAATAAATTCATATTTAATTTAAATTCATGATATTAATTAAAAAGTCAAATATAATCCAATTATATATTACAAAATATATATTTTTTAAAACTGTCCATTTTGGTTTGGTTTTCAGCCAAATGTGTTCTGAATTTTCGGTTTCAGTCCAAGAATTTTCATTTTGGTGCACCACTAGTAAAGACCTTTCTCCCTACTAAGGATTTGTTGCTTACTGAAGAGATCACATGCTGTAGTGTATTACGTTTTATTCTTTTTCCTCTAAAATGACATATCCTATTCATCCCTTGTCTGGGCATAAATATGGAAAAAAGGGTAATACATGCCAAACAAGGTAACTAAAGTGTCTCTTTATCAGGACATTTTGTGTCTCCAGACTCTAAGCTAATTTCTTATTCAATGAACGTCATCATCCAGGACTTAAAGCACTGTTTGAATATTTTGCCCTTCCTTCTATTGCACTGCTGAGTATACATATATCCACAGCATCCAAACAAAAGAATGGCTTCAGCCAGGACCCACACCAAACAATGGCAGCAAACAGCCCAGAATTCCTCTGGTTGAAGTGAAGAATCATCAGGATGTGGTCAGCATAAACTGTGTCCACTACTTGAACATGGCCCAAGGGATATTAAAACCCAAATAAACCTTCAGCTGAAATAACTGTAATTAAGCACATTTCACTGCATCAAAACAGAAGGTGTGCAGTTGGTGTTACAGTTTGTTTTCTTTTGATGTTTCATCACAAAAAAGCCAGAATTCTGTAAGCAGCTGCAGAGTGGGATCCTTCTGCTTTGTGGTATCTCTGCAGAGGTCCAATACGTCAGACCTATAGGAATCAGCAAAGCTCATGCCCCCGGCTGATTGAAAAGCTCTGTATCCAACTCAGAAGGAGAATGTTGTAATTGTAAACAGATCATTGGTTCCTCACAGAAAGAAAAGGTTCTACTATACAGGTTTTCTGCTTGGGCTGAGGTGGCTTTTTAACCACTTCCCGGCCGACCCATGTACATAAACAGCCGGACGGGAGCAGTGCCGAAGCAGGTTGATGTTTCTAAACGTCACCCGCATTCATTGCCTGGGAGCGTGTGGCACTGTGATCTGGTGCCCGTTATGTCCTCCGGACACAGTGGATCACCGATTACTGTACGGGACCTCTGTGTGAGGTCCCGATTCATGTGATCACCGATTGGCCAATCAGTGATCACATGAATAGTAGTAAACAAGATGTCACTTCCTGACATCATTGCTTACTACTTGTGAAATCTGTGAATGATCACAGAAGTCACATGGTACAAGGCTATTCACAACAGCCTTGTACCATGTGACAAGCTGTGACCAATCACAGCTCTCAAAGTATTTATCAATGGCTGCAAGAATGCAGCCAAAGAGAAGAAGAAATTATTGCTTTTACAGCCTTTATGGGTGTAAAAGCAATCAGTGTATAAAAAGAGAAAAAAATCTTCACCTCCCACCATGCAATTGTCATTCAAAGTATGATAGCACTGAAAGCTGAACATTGGTCAGGACAGGAAGGGGGTGAAAGTGCCCGGGCTTGAAGTGGTTAAAGAAAATTAACTGTAACACACTATTTGTTTTGATACACTTGGAATGTGTTTAGTCAATTTAAACTGAAAGTGCAATTGGGCCTTGAATATACAAGATTTACCATGAAGACTGTGGTACAACACTAGCACGTCCAAGATTACCAGTTTCCAACTTGTATGATAGTCCCACACCTTAATAATTCATAGTAAAACATTTTACTGTGTTAGCAGTTATCAAGTTTCACATATAATTACTAGAAATAGTTTTTAGAGACCAAAAACACAAATATAATTACTTACGCGAACATTTGGATTGTCTGGTCTGCAAAGTGCTGGAAATAATTCTCTTATCTTCTCTTTCTCATTTTTTACCTTTACAGTTTCTGTGTGTTAAAACATAAAACACTGAAAATATTGCAAGTTTAATTTCCAGATTTTTAAAAAGATTTCAATACATAAATATTAACAAAATACAAAGCCAAACACAACTCTGCCTTGTGCTATATCATCAACCTTGTCTCAAAATATCACTCAAACCATCCCTCTTTGCTTCTCCCAAGACCTCCTGCTCTCTAGCTGACTTGTCACCTCCTCCCATGCCCACCTCTAGGACTTCTCTACAGAGTCTCCCATCTTAAGGAACTCCCTACCCCAATCTCTCCAGCTATCTCCTACTATGTCCGCCTTTACCTGATCCCTGAAAACTCTTCATCTCTTCTGGAAACTATCCAGCCTCTACCTAAAATGAAACCGGTTACTTTCTCCATCAGCTCATCCTCTCAGTCATATTTTTTTTTTTATTACTTGCCCATGAACAGGTCCCTCCTAAGCCTCCTTATTTGAAATTTTATTGTAACCGACTGTCTCCTTTTAGCACTGTTAGAGCTGTATAAATCTTGAATAATAAGAATAATCAAACGTATATTACAATATAGACAAATCCATTTTAAATTATTTGTGAACACACTGCATTAAAAGACAGCCCTGATTCAGCAAATAAAAATACATGGCTCAAAACACATAACTAACCACAGGAGATATAGGCATGCTGTGCTTAGGGACAGTGTCCTGTAACTCCTAGCAGTGATCCCATGGATGATACTTGACCAGGGTAGCACAAACATGCTTCTGTGCTTGTCATGGTCAGTCTGAAACAGGAACAAGGGGTAAATGGCAATAGGATAAATAAAAACTGTAGGGGCTAGATTGAATAAAAAAAACTCTATGTATATACAAACACATACCATATTTAGTCTTTGTGGGGTAAAATACACCTTAACATTTATAAAAAGAAGAGACCATGTGCAAGAGGACTGTATTTTTCCTCAGGGTTTCTCTGATCATGCTCCACTCTGCATTAAGTTGTCACTTTCTCCTCCCCACCTCCCCAAAGTTCAGCTGTGGCATCTGTCTAGGTTCTGGGCAATGGACACGAGACTGCAGGAGCCTCTCACTGAATCTTTATGTAATTATTGGGTACACAATGGAGATTCTGTGTCCCCGTTATTACTGTGGGATGCCTTTAAAGCTTGAGTTATATGGGAATAAGTCTTCCGGATTTCTGGTCTCCAAAAAGAATCAGCTTGTTCATTGGATACCCTTGGAGAATGAGACTAAGAACTTAGAGGTGGCATATGTGTGGCATTTTTTACTGGCTGATAGCTAGAAAGAGTGGGAAATTTGAGTGGAGAGTGAAAACATTTTACTTTTGACTGCTGGTGCTTGTAGCTGTTTTATTTTCTTCTTTGGGTCTTGCTAAAAGCTTTTACTTTTTGAATCACTTTTTCTGTCACTTTTTAAATAGCATTTTTTTTTCTTCCTTTCCTTGTCTTCCATCAGTCTGCTCATTAAGGGGAGGTGTTAATTGGTCACAGGTGATACAGGTCCTATCTAAAACTTGCTGTAGAGCTCACTCTGAGCTTGCCTGTATTTTGCTTGCTGACCTCTGACCAAGTGGACATTTGATAAGTGGAGTTAAATAACCGGAGTGGAAAACAGGAGATTATAACAGGTGTCTACTAACTTCTAAATGACAACTTATATTTTCTATTAATATTGTAACTGGGATAGGAGTGCTAGCAGGGTGCTAGAAACTACATGAGTGCTAGAAACTACATGAGTGCAAGAAACTACAGCAAGGGTGTGCCATCTGAAGAAGCCACATTTTAAATTTTTGCATTAAAAATAATACACAGTAGACTATACACACCTTTACTTGTAGATGGTTTAGCTGGACACCTCATTGTCTGGATCAACCGCAGTAAATTACTAATAAGAGAATCCTGCAGAAAGAAAGAAATTCATAAACAAATTAGTATCATAGATTCATTAAAAACTGTAACATAAGATTTCTGTACTTGGCATAACATCTTCTATTGAAGTCCACTGACGGGCACAGGAAGTCTTAAAACCCAACTCCAGGAAAAAGTGAAATGTAAATAGTGCATTGTTCATCAGTTACCTTACTCCTCAGTCTTGATTCCAAACACCTCTTCCTAAGCCATCCTGCAGTGTAATGAATCAGACAGAGTTTGCACTATGAGCCAAGTAAATAATTTGCCCTGGGGACCAGACATGTTTCAGAGCGCATTACCTTCTTGGGCACTGGTCCCCTCACTGCCTCCATGAGTTCTCCTGCCTCTGGAGGCCATGAGAGGGGACCCTGCAACAATAGGAGGTGTGCACACCAAGCAGGGAGTAATGTGGAAACCTGACGAAGGTCCCCAGAAAGTAAACAAAAGAGAAAAATCATGTAACCATGGTGTCACAGAAACCTCTGTGACTTAGTCTCCTGGAAGGGCCTGGGGGTCATCTTTCTTCTCAGCAACTATGAACGCAGGACTAAGGAGATCCCTCTTCTTGAGGTTAAAAGGAACCCTTTCCCCAAGAGGGTTATATCACTTCCCTGGGTACCTGGCTGTTCGTGAATTATACCAGCTACCCTTTCCATGCAATTAGGGCTGGAGGGATTGTTTCTGGGACCCCTTGGCATACAGTGCATAGTGGAACTATTTTCCTGGAGCAATGAGTTATGTGCAGGGGTGAAAAATCTTTATTTTCTGTTACATGTTTCCTGGCATCAACTATTGTTTTCTGTAAAAAGGTTTAAGTGATCAGCTCTCACTTTGCTCAATCGCCTCCAGAGTCCAGACTGCTAGGTGGCAGGATGGAATCCACTGTTTTCTTTATTTTTTTATGTAATGGAATTTTCTCCTGGGTATGTGTGCTGTATCTGTCTAGGGCAGGGGTAGGCAACCTGTGGCTCTCTAGCTGTTGTGGAACTACATTTCCCATGAGGCATTGCAACATTACAAAACTGACAGTTACAGCTATGACTTGCAGAGGCATGATGGAACTTGTAGTCCTGCAACAGCTGGAAAGCCGCAGGTTGCCTACCCCTGGTCTAGGGGTAAGGCTTTTGTGCATACATGCTGTGCTGTTTGTTAATAAAGTCAGTCCTGTTTTAATCCAACACTGGTTCTGTCTGATGCTTGAAGTAAATTTGCTATATTCTGGTTCCAGAGCGGAGGAAGCTGTAGTTTGGCGAAGATACCCAGTAGGGATGTCAGGCAGTCCATCACACATGGCTTCAGGTAAGTAAATTGGGCATTTGAATAGGTCTTTTTTTTCTTCATACCAGTGGTTACATAGAAGGGGTGGAAGACAGGTTGTCAATAACCTGGAGTTGTGCTTTAAAGCTTGGGTTATGCTACCACCTACAGAAGGATTGGACACTGGCAAACAAAGGTCAGGCCAGGATAGCCCCTCTGACTACAAAAATGCCTCGGTTCTGTCCACTGTAGGACACCACAAATCCTAAAATGTCAGTGTCCAAAAGCAGTCCTAATGAGGGGTGCACAGCACACAAATGCCAAGGGACCCAAGAAATCAACAAAAAACTGGGGACTGTCTGTAGGCAAAGGCCATGAACTTGTAATGCAGGGGCCCCATAGAAAACTGTAGGAACTGCAGATGTACTGGAAATATGTAACTTTGCATTAACATTTACAAATATTTTGTTTTCTAACATGATTCATGCAATAGGAGCTCATGCACATGGATGCATCTGGACATAGACTGTAGGAATTCGTTATATTTCCATGCCCGGGAGTCACAGGGGTTGGCATACAGCCATGTCCAGCAACTCGTACAAATCAATGACAATCTTTCAGATGCTGTGGTTGTACACCTGTAACCAACACATTCAAGTGATTACACAAGCACAGGGACAGATGAGCAGTTCTAGATGCGAAGTTACTCTCCACGGCAGCTCGTCTGTCTCTGTTGGAGTGTAACCACTCGGATGTACAGCTGCTGCGCCTGGAAGCCTGTCACTGCTTTCTATAGACTGCTGGCCAAGGCTGTACTGCAAATGAGAACAAAAGAGCGCAACAACCTTGCGCATTACGCCAGTAAAAAGATGTGATTTTAATAAAATAAGATGTATACTTACAAACTTAGCAATATAAAACTCATGTTAAGTGCAAGATTGGAACACTGGAGTACTAGACTTGTGTGAATCCCACCGAAAAGGAAGAGTAAGGCTGACGCGTTTCGAAGGGAGATCCCCTCTTCATCAGAGCTAACAGAACCAAAAATGCACTCTTCTATATATCACAAATCTATGTGTAAGCACTCCCATACGGGCTGGACACACACAAAAAGGGAGGTGGGGCATAGGTGTCAAAAATAAACATACTTAGGGAACAATGTGGAAATATTCGGTGTGCATCCAATTAACATCGATCCATATATACACAATATTGCAATGTAGTAAAAGCCCACCTAACCACCTGCCCCCTGGCCCCGGTTCCCATGCAAATACTACAGTCACCCTCTGGCTCTATCCTTCATTCTTTAACTCATATCTTCAATCTCCCCCTTTCTACTGGCATCTTCCCCAACTCTCTAAAACATTCGCTAGTCACCCCCATACTTAAAAAAGCCACACTGGACCCCACCAATCTTAGCAATCTAAGACCCATCTCCTTACTCCCTTTTGCCTCCAAACTCCTTGAACGTCTAGTCTACAACCGACTGAGCTGCCACCTTATTGAAAATAACCATCTCGATCCCCTTCAGTCTGGATTTCACCCACAACACTCCACAGAAACTGCTCTCCTAAAACTCACAAACTACTTACTAACCGCTAAAACCAATGGTCACTATTCCGTAATCTTGCCCTTGGACCTCTCCGCTGTCTTTGACACAGTTGACAAACCCCTCCTCCTCAAAAAACTATTTACTGGGTCTCCGTGACTGTACTCTCCGTTGGTTTGAATCTTACCTATCTCACCGCACCTTCAGTGTCGCTTACAACTCTACTTCCTCCTCTCCTTCTCTTACAGTCGGGGTCCCCCTAAGTTCTGTCCTTGGACCTTTCCTATTCTCGATCCATGTAGCAATTGTACATACAGAGATGGACACGGTCATCCATCTTGCTACAGATCCTCCATCTTGTATCATTCCCTCTCCCTCCAATCCACCCCCCTCAGGAATGTGGTCTGTATGTATGCTGAGATCACAGGCATCAGGCACAGCGGGATAGCTTCATGGTTATAAACCCCAATTAGCCTGGGCCCAGTATGTCTGAGAGACTCTTGCTTGGAGCGGATCATAATGCTGTAAACCAGTCCTTCACTGAACATGAAAGACATTACGAGATAACAGTAAAACAGACATTCTATTTAAAACCCACTTTCCCATATAATTTCATATCTTAAGATAGGAAATAATTACAATGAAACAAAGCATATATTCGGATAGCTCAGTTTAATGCGAGTCGCCTGATATCTTACACCTCTAGTTAAAGTCTACAGGAGAGCAGAAAGCCATATAGTTCTAGCTGAAATAGTAAGGTATGGCATATTTAATGTCTGGACGTTCAGGATATCATTCTGCATATTAATCTACTAGTGGCTAGGCTGCTACATGTACCTAGGGGGAAGGTTATTAACCATGATATACACTGCGAGGGATTTGGTCATAGCCCAAGTTCCCCGTCTTAAACACCCCTCCCCAAATAAGGCGATTGGTTCTCTGCTTTAAGGAGACACCCTGCTGGGTTCCTAGAAAAAGGCTGTTATGCTTGGAGCAGGAAGTTGAAGAGATCTTTCTTTTAACACCAGGAACCACCTTTGGGAGAAAAGGCACCCTTTTGCTCAGGACACTTGAATCTGCTTAAACCAAGGCTGACGGCAAGTATTCTACCTTCTTAAACGTCTTTCTTTATCTCTCTGCTGTGTTATTGCTCCCTGTATTTATATTATATAGATTGGCTACATCTTTTTCTGTAACTATTTTTATTGCACCATTTTGACCTTTTTAGTAATAAACCTATTATCTGAAAAGTGTTGAACTGTTTCTAAAGCTCGTTAATGCAAACTAAGAATCCCTGTCTCTGAAGAGCGCTACTGTGTGTTTTTAACCCTCTATATACATCAGCCTGCGGTGACAGTGTGTATACAGACGAGTATTCAAACATCATAGTGTTATTGCTAATATTGGCGAGTTTCCTCCTTCTCTGTACAAAAAGGTGGTTGTAGCAGTGTGAAGGGTTAATTGCGTAATTAACTTGACCCAGTAACAATCGCTCTCAGGCTGCAGGTACATAGATTGTGGTCCATTAGCTGGAAAATCTTTATGCAGGGTGCAAATGAGCTTGGCATTGTTACGCACATGACAGCGCAGTTTTAGATTGGCTAGTCCTTCGGTCACGAGTTGGTGAGAAGGGCTGAGGGGTCTGGCGCCGCGATCGTCACAATCTACACTTCTTCCTTGGGTCAACTGATAGCTTACCATGGTTTCCAATACTTCCTTGGGTCAGCTGATAGCTTCCCATGGTTTCCAATACTTCCTTGGGTCAGCTGATAGCTTCCCATGGTTTCCAATATCATTTCTATGCTAATGACACACAAATCTCTCTACTCCTCAGCTCACCCCATCAGTTTCCTCACGTATTACCGATTTACTAACAGTCATATCAGACTGGATGTCACACCACTTCCTAAAACTCAATCTATCCAAAACTGAGCTCATAATATTTCCTCCTCCATGTGCCTCTTCCCCTGATTTCTCAGTCAGGATCAATAGCACCACTATCAACCCATCCCTGTATGCCAAGGTCCTAGGGGTAACCCTGGATTCTGAACCATCCATTCAGACCACATCCATTTCCTGTCCAAATCATGCCACCTCAACCTCCACAACATCTCCCAAATACGCCCCTTTTTAAGCAGATACCACAAAGCTCCTAATTCACTCCCTGGTCATCTCTCTTCTCGACTACTGCAACCCCCTCCTTATTGGCTTACCTTTACATAGGCTATCCCCCCTCCAGTCCATCATGAATACTGCTGCCAGGCTCATCCACCTTACCAACCGTTCATTGTCTGCAATCCCTGCACTGGCTTCCAGTCGCCCAATGAATAAAATTCAAAATACTAACAACAACAGCTACATCACAAACCTGGTCTTAAAATACCAACCAAACCACTCTCTTCAATCATCCCAAGACGTTCTGCTCTCTAGTTCCTGTGTCACCTCCTCCCATGCTCGCCTCCAGGACTTCTCCCATCCTATGGAACTCCCTACCCCAATCTGTCCGGCTGTCTCCTAATCTATCCACCTTTAGACGATCCCTGAAAACCTCTCTTTAAAGAAGCCTATCCTGCTTCTACCTAGTAAACCACCATTTATTTCCTCCATCAGCTCATCCCCCACAGCTATTACCTTTTGTATCACTCAACCCTTCCTCCTAGATTGTAAGCTCGAACGAGCAGGGCTCTTTGTTTCCTCTTGTACCAAATTGTATTGTAATTGTAATGTCTACCTTCATTTTGTAAAGTGCTGCGCAAACTGTTGGCGTTATATAAATACTGTATAATAATAATAATAATAATAATAATATAGCCATGTAGTAATGATAATCATGGGATCAATAAAATATATAAAAAAACACTGTAAATAACCTGGGATGAGGTAGTTCCAGATATATATACACATATAGACACTTAGGGACATGTAACTAAACCAGAGTGTGTATTGCGTTATAACATGTCACTAAGTGTCTCTATACCCGGGCTATTTCTGACTCATCATGCAAACACTGACTATAGGACATGCACTTACATGCAAGAATTTATGTTCATATGAGCACTTATATGGATGCTGGTTTGCATCCGCCCACACATACATATATATCTGGAACTACCACCTCCAGTTCACTTTGGGAGTCTTGGATGATCATACTATCTTGCAGCCCACAGAATTTTCTACCCCCTCTAAAAGGCACACACATTTGATATAGATGTTTAGACCTCCCCCCACCCCTCCAGTTCCGGATTTCTCTGTGCAGCTTATGGTTTACTATATATACCTGGAGAATCGTATGGTCATTGAAATAGCCTCCGGATTCATGGGTTTTCAAATATTCCTATACACAACACCATTGGTATGGGAATTTAGAGATGTATCTGGGTATTGATAAAGACAGAGATTCACATGTTTACTATGTATTTTCTACACACAAGCATGGCTTATAGTAGACATGATCTTGACCGGCAGTGATGTTAGGTAATAGTAGTAAGAATAATGTATTAATTGACTAATGCCTTTATCATTTGATGCTCACTTTCATCACAGTATTATTTTATTGAATTATGTTTTAGATCTATTGCCAGTGATTATGTAACTACAGCATATTATATCCCCTGACCTGGTTTATTTAATTGTTTTTTAATGTTTTTTTATTTTTCTCTCTTCATGTGGTGCCGGTATGGAGCCATGTGGGGTTTGGTCTTGGTGGCCTCCTCGCCCTACACGGTCCACTGGTGTGGGGCTGGTGCTGTGTTCGCTTGTCTCTCCAGTAGCAGCTGGCATGCATTGCGCAGCCTCCTTTTCGATTTCTCACAGGCGTGCGTTCCATGGATGGCTGGGCCTTTTTTTGGTGGCTCCAGATGGCAGCTGGAACGCACTGCGCAGGCGCTTCCTGATAGCTCACACTGGCATGTGTTCCATCAGCACCTGGAACCGCCTCTGTGATCCTTTTCCCCCCCTACTGCTCATTTTGGAAATTATCACCCATCTATACCTGAGAGGTGATACAGAGATTGCTCACTGCCAACAATCCCGGCTAACCAACTTTTGTGAGTAGTTCCTATATGCTCCCTAAAGGAACTAAAAGTTTTGAAGGTTATTTACAGTGTTTTTTATACATTTTATTGATCCCATGATTATTATCATTACTACATAGCTATATTAACCTACTACATTGCAATGTAGTAATGATAATATATAGAAGAGGGCATTCTTGGTTCTGTTAGCTCTGATGAAGAGGTGATCTCCCTTCGAAACGTGTCAGCCTTACTCTGAGAGTCTCCCTCATGTGGCAGAATGAACAGCACTCCTGTGATCCACAGAAGTACAGCCAAAAGGAGCTTTGGCTGTAGTTCTCTTTTAGAGAAGTTCACTGCTAGAGTTTCCATATGCTTTAAGTAGATACAGACAGAAGCAGCAAACCAAAGCACTTACTGTGAATTCTGCACCATTCTTTTCCAGAGCAGATTTAAAAGTGTCATAAGAAGGAAACTTCTCTGCAAGGTCAATGATAAATTCAGCTGCAAGGAAAAACAAAACATTTTAGCTAGAAATCTTGCACTTGACAAAAAAAAAAAAATTCATGGAGGGTAAAGTTTCTGTTGACGAGCAATTAGTCACATTTGTAAAGTGTAAGGGAATAAAATCAGCTGGTGCCAATGTACTGGATTCAAATGCGGCCTTGTATGAATTTTAATAATAATTAACTAGCATGCTGTTGAAATAGCACAACCACCGCACACTTCATCCAGCCCAAGTGGTTAGCAGGTAAAAGCAGCCTTAGCTCGATTCATCCAAGCCCCCAACATGGTTTGCTCCTCCCCTGGAGCTAAATCATGGGGGATAATATATTTACTAGCATATAGCATAAAAAAAAAAAAGTGTGTGTTTGTGTATTATAGATTTTAAAATAAGATAGATGCAAGCTGGCCTTGCTGGTGTATACCCCTGCTTGAAATCTTCAAGGACAGCTACTACAGTCATGACCCCAGCCTCCTACACTAGGCAACACCACCCTGAGAACAGTATAAAACCCCCCTCTTTTCAGTGTCTCAGGACCCAAGAAGTCAAATATAGAAGCTATAAAACCAAACAAATATATAAATACAGTGCATGAGCTATACTGAAGGATGCCTGGAAAAGGTACCAGTTATGATCAATGCATTGCTCAAGACTACAGCTAGAGAACAAAACAATATCTCTTACTAGAGAAGAACAACTTCCTGCAAAATCTTCTGGTAAAAGCCAAATCTTGGTTGAATCCAGGTAAATATTTGCTTGATTAGAGGCACCTGCTCATTCCAAAGGAGTTTACCATTGTTGGTACCAGACAAACGCATAAGGCCGCTTTACACCAAGCTTTTGGTGCCAAAACTGAAAAAAACATCTACTGACATTCAGATCATGAATCTTCCCTCTACATCTTGTTTGCTAGATTCTTACAGAAATAATTTAAAACCCAACTCCAGCCTCGCCTGTTACTCATTCTGCAGAGAAATGTCCTATTCCTGACATAGAGCTCCATGGTTAAGTAAAGTAATCTGACTGCTTGCCACTGTACTTCAGACCTATGTGATGCTTAGCAGTCCAATGTCAGTGGTCTGTCACAGACATATCCCCTAGCCCCCTGGACTACAAGAGGCATCCTGTTTGAGTGTTACTAAGAGGGCAAAAAGCAGTGGCACCCTCATTGGTGATCTGGAAAAACGCAGTATACATGGCAACGCACCTTTACAAAGCCATAAATGAGATCCAGGCCTGTCCTCACAGAACACTTCAACTCTTAATTCTATATTGAATGTCTTATCTGATCATGTACAGGGGGTGTAGGAGGTTCGAGGCAGGTGCTCAGCTACCCACTCAGTGCAACATAGTATACTTATGTTATAGATTTCCTCTGACCCATTAATTGCAGTATTTTTCATGTCCAAGGTAGACTTTTTGCCATTGTTGTGTACTAAGTGATACTGGACGTTCTCCAATGGCACCGCATTATACTATGTCTCTACTATTTTTCCATGAGAGCCATATTGATGTATCTTGCCTGCAGGGGAAGCAGAGGAGGGAGCAGGAGCAGTTGTTGAGCTGAGCTGTAGCTATTATTTTGGAATGTTGTGTTATAATTTTGTATTGGATAATGGAATAAAACGAATTAAAAACAGAATGCTTTTCCTTTGTAGTTTTTATATGTTCATACAGTTTGTTTAGTGATGTTAACCACTTTCCGCCCGCAATGTACTGCGGCCGGGCGGCAGCTACAGACAAGGCGAGGGCTGCTCTGGCTGTACTAACACAGGGGGGCACTCCCCCCCCTTCAGCGTGACTGCTGTGTCCAGCGGAATGAAGATCCTGGTGAAATGGACCCAGTGATCATTATGTGATCACAATGTAAGCAAAACTGTTATGAATCAATCTCATTCATAAAGCCTGGATGTAGTCATTGGATTTTGGAGCCTGTATGTAGCTAGGCTGCCAAAAAGTCTCTCATATGTGGTATCCCCATACTCGGGAGAAGTAGAAGAATGTGTTTTGGGGTGTTATTCCACATATACCCATGGTAAGCATGAGCAATATATCATTAAAGTGACAACATTGTGTAAAAAAAAATTCAAAAAATTTGTGGCAAAAAATAAAATGTTCCATGGACTTAACATGCCTCTCTGCAAAATCCTTGGGGTGTCTACTTTCCAAAAAGGGGTCATTTGGGGGGGGGGGAGTTGTACTGCTCTGGCATTTTAGCACCTCAAGAAATGTGATAGGCAGTCAGAAAGTAAAAGCTATGTAAATTCCAATATATATATATATATATATATATATATATATATATATATATATACATATATACACATACACACACATACACACTATACACACCCATAGTAGACGCTGTACGTTTCACACAAACCAATTAATATACATGTATTGAAAAAAAAAAATTTTTCCCAAAGACATGTATCAGAATACATTTTGGCCTAAATTTATGACTGAGTTTATTGGATATTTTTTATAACCAAAAGTGAAAAACATTTTTTTTTAAATTTTCAGTCATTTTGTTTATAGCGCATAAAGTAAAATCTGCTGTGATCAAATACCACCAAAAGAAAGCTCTATTTGTGTGAAAAAAGGACATAAATTTTGTTTGAGTACAGCATTGCACGACCACGCAATTACCAGCTGAAACAGTGCAGTCCCGAACAGCAAAAAATGGCCTGGTCAATCTTCTGGACGGCAAGTGGTTAAAGGATCATGTTTTTTTTTTTACAAAAATAATAAACATGTCATTCTTACCTGCTCTGTGCAGTGGTTTTGAACAGAGGAGTCCCAATACTCTTCTTCTTGGATCCCCTGCTGAGTGCCCCTAGAGAGCTTGGCTCAGCTCCACCCCCACCCTCAATATCTCTTCACTAGCTGTGATTGACAGCAGTGGGAGCTGAACTGGCTGAGATTTGAACCATCTATGGCCAGGTTTAGGATAGTCATCTCATCATTGCATTAAGCCAAGAACAGGATAAGTCTATTACCGGAGATTGTTGGTATGGATGCTGTATTTTTTTCAATTATTTAGGAAAACATAAAAAGAAAGTAAGAAGGGGTAAAAAAAAAAAAAAAAAAAAAAAGGATGGAAAAAAAAAAAAAAAAAGGAGGAAAAAAGGGACAAAAAAAAGGAGGAGGGGACAGGACAGTGCACATGACCGCAACTTACATGTGCTGCTTGTTCCAAACAAACAGAAGTGAGGGGTATAAAAAAAAAAAAGTTGGAGAGCTCAACGAGAAATAAGAAGCTATTTCAAAAAAAATAGATTACAGGGCCCGGTAAGTAGTGGATGTGTATGGATTATTTTTAGAGGAGAAGGGGAATATTGTTTAGTGTAACTTTAATGTCAAAACCATGAATAGATCACAGTATAATAATATCTCAATCTTACCTAAATCTTTGTCATTAATGCCCAAATGGTTATCAAGCTCTGTGCAAACCTTCGAGACCAAGGAAAGGTACTCAAGCTTCCGAAGCTCCTCCAGTGCCACATCTGCCATTTTTTATTTTTTTTTTACTGACACAGTAATAAAAACAAGAATTAAAATTAGTATATTAATTACATTAGTTTAACCAAGCAAGAAATATATTATTAATCAGCTTGTTCATTTTACAACTGTTTACAATGTACACCTTTTATGCTCTTGGACATTTGCAGAACTACAATGCGACTGAAAAGCATATTACCATCACCTACTAGGTCATTTTAAAAAAATACATAAATAAACCATTACTGAGTAAAGGATAGCTAGAATTTATAGCAGATACAATAAAGCTCCTGCTCCTACAAGTTATGCACTACTCCTATTTGGATCTGCTGTTGGGGTTCCCAACAAAACACTTAGTACTTACAAGTAGGGCTGAAACAACTAATTGACAATCTATTATGAAAAATAGTTGGCAACTATTTTCATAATCGATTAGTTGCGCTGCATGCAGAATGCATTATTTATACCAGGCATGTCCAAAGTCCGGCCCGCGGGCCATTTACGGCCCGGGGGTCGGTTTAATACGGCCCTCCAACAGCCTTCCCTGCTCTGTGTAATGTGGCCCTCCCACGGCCCTCCCTTCTATGGCAGACAGTCTTCTGCTTGAGAGCAGAGGGCAGTGCGCATGCCTGACTGCGGCGCGTTCTCCCTGGTCTGTGTAAATGCGGCTGTCGCACGGCCCTCCCTTCTGTGGCAGACAGTCTTCTGCTTGAGAGCAGTGCGCACATGCGTGACTGCGCCGTGCTGGGAGCGACAGAGGGCGGTGACGTCAGGGCCGGGCTTCCAGCGTGAAGTGTGTTTCTCTTCCCCTCCCGGCTGCCGAGCAGAGACTTCAGCTCCAGCTACCTTTTTCACCCTTCACATTAGTGCAGGTAAGTTTTTTTTTAATTTATTTTCAATACATTGTGAAAACTCAGCTGTCAGTTGATCTTAATGTTATGAAATGAAAAGTATGTCGTTTGCAATTAACTTGGCATAAAATAATTTATTTGCATTTAATTGTAATAGTTCAAAGAATGTTCGGAAAAAAATGTTCGGCCCTCCACCATGTTCACTTCATCCAATCTGGCCCTCTTTGAAAAAAGTTTGGACACCCCTGATTTATACAGAAACTACAGTGCAGCACATACAGCCCAGTACACCCTCCATACATGTCAGTAAGTGCCTGGGAACTTGTGAAAGTGTGAGGAGGAATGCCTTGTGGGACATGAAGTCCTGGGCATGAGAAGGAAGTGACTGATTCTAAAGGCAGATGCTTTTTACCTTGCTATAGGGGCATACTATACTTTGCTGCTTACTATAGGAGCACCCTGAAGGCAGGAGCAGCCAGAGGTGTCGGTGAGGGACCCCATAAGAGGACAATTTATCTGGTATTTTTGTACTATAAAGGGCTAATTTTTGTTTTTTTAACCTCATCTTAACAGGTGATTTTAAAAAACATGCTGCTGCTGCTACTAAATGTCTTATGATGGCCATACACGTATCGATTTTCGAATGAGAATATTCATTAGAAAATAATTTGTACATTTGATGAATTAATGAATGTCGTTTGAAAATTTCACTTGCTTTTAACATTTAATTTTAAAATGAATGTCACCACATACACTGCCTTAAAATTTTGTTGATCAAGAAAAGCTTTCTACTTTGTTCCTTTGAATTTTCCCATCACTGTGCTCAAAAACAAACGTTGATTTGACCCCACTAACAATTAGAAAAACAAAAATTTTCAAAGGAAAAGTTTGTGCGCGGCCAGCATAAAGCCTGGTACACACTGGGAGTTCAGCAGGCTGAATGAAAAAAAAAAAAAAACTGAGCAGCCACTAAGCAATTGTAGTGTGGTGATCTCCTCCCCCCAAGTTATTGTGTTCTGACAGGGGAACTGCCCTGTCACCCCCCCCCCCCCCCCCCCCCCCGCTCCCCGCGCCCCCCTTCCCATTCAATAAAAGCCAGTTGGATGGGCTGCTGTACACACAGGCTGAATGTCGGGCGATTTCTTTTGAACAGCCCATGTGTACAAGCCTTAAGTGACTGCAGGGGCAGGTAGCTTTTATCAAGCTGCTAGCCTACAACAAGAGAGTGTGTCATGCATAATATTATATTACAGTCCTGTCTGAAATCTGCAAAACAGCGTTTTAGGTCTTTAAAAAAAAAAAATTTTCCTTGACTAAAAATTTTGATCTTTTTTAGTCTGATGAAATGTAAAAGCTTCCACCTCTAATAGTACATACATCTCTTCTGTCAGTTATTCTCAGAGAGGGTTCAATATTTTGCTCCCTAACCATAAAGCTAGTCATTTTTATTTACCACTGCATATAGATATTCAAGAATAATTTGTCTTTTTTAAAAACTTTACACAGTAAAAAATTATACACCAAACTTTTTTTTTTTTTGAGCTTTTTTATCCAATTAATCGAAACAATAATCGGCCAACTAATCAATTATGAAAATATTTGTTAGTTGCTACCCTACTTACAGGTATGGGACACATGCGACAACCCACATAGCCAGTGCTCAGTGTGTCAGGCGACAATTGACAGGGTCAATCTCAGCTACAAAATGGACAGGACACTCATCCCCTGCTTTTTGTTGGCTAACACTAACTGAAGGGGTTGGTGCCCAGTGACAATCAAGACAATGTGCATGGAACCACAGGAAGCAAAAAGAAGCATCACCACCATGCCACCCACCCTGCTCAAAAAATAAGGAAATAGACTGGAGAGAGGGTAAAGCCAATATCACATACTACCAGACAGCAAAAAAAATAAATAAATGAAAAATATGAATGTACAAGCCCCATACCTAGTGCTCCCTCGGAATTCATAGGACTGGGTCCTACCATGCCCAATTAGAAATATAGCCTGGTTAATGCCTCATATATGCCCCTATACAATGCACCAAAAAGCTGAAACCCTGGGAAACGATGTTACGTAAAAAAAGAAAGGACTTCACAATATCTCTGAATTCCTAGAGCATATACTGGAGTTGATTTAATAAAACTGCCCTCAACCTCTCCTATACAGTATCTCACAGAAGTGAGTCCACCCCTCACATTTTTGTAAATATTTTATTCTATCTTTTCATGTGACAACACTGAAGAAATGACACTTTGCTACAATGTGACGTAGTGAGTGTACAGCTTGTATAACAGTGTAAATTTGCTGTCCCCTCAAAATAATTCAACACACAGCCATTAATGTCTAAACCGCTGGCAACAAAAGTAAGTACACCCCTAAGTGACAATGTCCAAATTGGGCCCAAAGTGTCAATATTTTGTGTGGCCACCATTATTTTCCAGCACTGCCTTAACCCTCTTGGACATGGAGTTCACCAGAGCTTCACAGGTTGCCACTGGAGTCCTCTTCCACTCCTCTATGACAACATCACGGAGCTGGTGGATGTTAGAGACCTTGCGCTCCTCTGCCTTCCATTTGAAGATGTCCCACAGATGCTCAATAGGGTTTAGGTCTGGAGACATGCTTGGCCAGTCCATCACCTTTACCCTCAGCTTCTTTAGGAAGGCAGTGGTCATCTTGAAGGTGTGTTTGGGGTCATTATCATGTTGGAATACTGCCCTGCGGCCCAGTCTCCGGAGGGAGGGAATCATGCTCTGCTTCAGTATGTCACAGTACATGTTGGCATTCATGGTTCCCTCAATGAACTGTAGCTCCCCAGTGCCGGCAGCACTCATGCAGCCCCAGATCATGACTCTCCCCACCACCATGCTTGACTGTAGACAAGATACACTTGACTTTGTACTCCTCACCTGGTTGCCGCCACACACGCTTGACACCATCTGAACCAAATCAGTTTATCTTGGTATCATCAGACCACAAGATATGGTTCCAGTAATCCATGTCCTTAGTCTGCGTGTCTTCAGCAAACTGTTTGTGGGCTTTCTTGTGCATCATCTTTAGAAGAGGCTTCATTCTGGGATGACAGCCATGCAGACCAATTTGATGCAGTGTGCGGCGTATGATTTGAGCATTGACAGGCTGACCCCCCACCCCTTCAACTTCTGCAGCAATGCTGGCAGCACTCATACATCTATTTCCCAAAGACAACCTCTGGATATGACGCTGAGCACGTGTACTCAACTTCTTTGGTCGACCATGACGAGGCCTGTTCTGAGTGGAACCTGTCCTATTAAACCGCTGTATAGTCTTGGCCACCGTGCTGCAGCTCAGCTTCAGGGTCTTGGCAATCTTCTTATAGCCTAGGCCAGTGATGGCGAACCCGTGGCACGCGTGCCACAGCCGGCACGCCGAGCCTTATCTGTGGGCACGCCAGGAGAATCCAGCGGCGCGCTGTCTTCCCGGCTGTAGTGTGCGTGACAGCCGGGTCCCAAGTGCGCATGCACAAGAAGCAGTGCTCTTTGTGAATGGTAAGGCGGTACCTGGGACACATGACAGATCCCAGAAGCCGCCGGACCAATCACAAAGCGCAGCGCTTCTCGCGCATGCGCACTGGGCATCCGGCTGTCCGACGAGCGCCCACAATACAGAAGCCGGGAAGACCACGCGCGGCTGGATAAAGGAACAGGTAAGATAAAGAAAAAAAAAAAAACTCTGTGGAAGTAAGAGCGGGTACCTGTCAAATTCAGGTACCCGCTCCCCCTCCCTCCCCAAAGGTCAGCAGTCATCTCTGTACTGTCCGCAGTCTCTGGTCATCCCTGTGCTGTCCGCAGTCTCTGGTCATCCCTGTGTTGTCCGCAGTCTCTGGTCATCCCTGTACTGTGTCCGCAGTCTCTGGTCATCCCTGTACTGTGTCCGCAGTCTCTGGTCATCCCTGTACTGTGTCCGCAGTCTCTGGTCATCCCTGTACTGTGTCCGCAGTCTCTGGTCATCCCTGTACTGTGTCCGCAGTCTCTGGTCATCCCTGTACTGTGTCCGCAGTCTCTGGTCATCCCTGTACTGTGTCCGCAGTCTCTGGTCATACCCTGTACTGTGTCCGCAGTCTCTGGTCATCCCTGTACTGTGTCCGCGCAGCCTCTGGTCATCCCTGTACTGTGTCCG